CAACACACACTACGCACATACGGACAAAGATTAGAAGCAGTATTTCTTTTTGTTTGTAATGTTACAGGGTGTGCATCATTGAACAGCTTTTTGGAGTGCTAAAATCAAGTGCCATGGGAAGACACAAGCTTATTAACCTCGCACAATTCACACATACAGATTCAATTCAGAAAAAATTACAGAAGCCTTTTACAGTTTGAATTTTTTTTCCATCCTAATATAGATGCATTAATGCAATTAAGGACATTGAATGATGGTCCATTCACATCATTCACACAGCCAGATTTTTTCTTAAAACTTTTTTAAAAAGAAAAAAATAGACTACTTGCACTGATCAGATTATTTCTCAAGAAGAGACAATCCAAACCACCTGGCAAACAGATTAAGTGATAGGCTGTGAGTGTGATTAAGTTTTGTTCAAGCAAAACAGAAAGCCCAAATTTATTCTGATTTAAAGTATAAAAAAAAAAAAAAAAAAAAAGAAAGCGGAGAGGTAAGATAACCTTAAAGATAAAGACATGCTTTTTTAGGAAACCAGTAAATAAAGCCATAAATAAAGGAAAATTTGTTTGTTTTTAAATACATAAATTAAGCCAAACACTAACCCAAAAATAGCAAGTAGATAGGTAAGCCTTCTGAGCACTTTCATACTGATATAGGCTGTTTGAGCTTGGATTTTTTTTCCTCAGCTTTTTTCAGAGAAACATAAACGGATGCAGAGATTCCCAGTGACTGATATCAACATTTCTTAAATGCAACAAAAATACCAATTTCCAATACAGTTTAGCTACACCATTATTAATTGACAGTCAACCACCTTTTCAGAATAGAAACTGACACCAGATGTAACACTATAATGCAATGAAAAGCACAGCAATGAAAGTAAGGTTGCAAAGTCCCAGGCAGCAGCAAATGAGGATAACCTCAAAACCAACAGCCATAGGCGCAGAAACAGGAGGAAAATAAATAAATAAATAAATAAATAAATAAATAAATAAATAATAAAATAAAAGTACTTACCTTTAGAAGGTCTCAAGCACACAAGAATCTCTAGCAAGATACTCACACGAGTGCTGCCAGCTCTTAAGTGAGGTCTGGAAAGGGGTGGATCCTGGCTCCACCCCTTCCAATCACACAGGTACACTGCATGCACCTGAGCTGCCCTGGGTTGGCCCTGCCTTCCCACCAGCTGCTCAATCACTGCTTCAGGCCATGACTCAGCATTTCCGCTACAGCAGATTTGCAGGGAATTCCATTACAGTCATTCCAAATTGTATAAGGCCTGAACACCACTACAAGCATATTCTCTGTGTGAATAAGGAGGTTTAAGTTCTATAACACTCAGGTAAATATCTAACCAGAGAAGGGCTACCTTTGGTTTGGGCCAAGTGTTTGCAGAGCAGTTCAGGACACAGAACGTAGCCCTGTAACCCATCAACATCATCTCCTTTCTGCTCACGTACAAGTAAGGCACAGCAGTTTGGGTTCTGTTAATAAAACATCCATCTCCAACTATCTACTGCCTTGCAACTTTACTAAAACCAAAGATTTCTTTCAGTTAAAAAGCAGGTGTCCTGAGAAATATATTAAAAATCACAGAATCACAGAATTGTAGGGGTTGGAAGGGACCTCCAGAGATCATCGAACCTGCCAAAGCAGGTTCCCTACAGCAGGTCGCACAGGTAGGCATCCAGGCAGGTCTTGAACATCTCCGGAGAAGGAGACTCCACCACCTCCCTGGGCAGCCTGTTCCACTGAACATGAAAATGCTGCTTGCATGTTTAACTCTGTAGTTCACCACCATGTAATTTTTTCAGCCCTTCTTTCAAAACATCAGCAAGTTTCTTTAAAACACCCCCCAAAACCAGCAAACCCTATTTATATTACTGTTAGCAGTAGATACTCTGTGGCACCAAAACACAACTTAGTGATGCTGTCATTGAGTTACTCAGCTCCTGCCCAAATGAATCTCATGCTATGAAAGTCACCTTTTTTCAACACTGGTTACGGAAAAAAAGTATCACTACACAAGAACAGAACACCAGCAGCTTGGAACTCTGAATTCTACAACCTGCAGTCTTGTTACTGAGTCTTTTCATCTTTCTGACTTCATCTGTAGATAATGAAGTGTTAAACCTTTCTAGAATTATATGTTTTAATGCCAACGGATGAAAAGTGCATTCATTCTTTGTAAACTGAAATATTTCAGTGTGCCTTTTAAGATTATGTAAGGAATGTTTTTTGCTTACATTAAGAAAAACAATTGTATTCTTAAAGTTTAAAGAAGTCCCTGAAAAGAAGTGAACGCTTACCCTCTTTTCATTTATCATGTTACCTTCTGGTTATTAACACCAACGCAATGCTTATGAAAAGAACTCTGTTATCCCCTTAACAAATACGTGAGCATATTCTTGCTTTGATGATCACACCAAACTTCTGTAAACGTTAATGGGACTATGGTGTACAAAGTGAGGGCAGAATACAGCCTGGCATACAACACATCCCAAAATAGTTTCTTGTGGCTGAGCTCTTGGCAGTTTTCATACTCTCTCTTAAAAGCATTAGAACTAGTGCAGGCATTGGTGCATTACAGGATCCCTTAAGAAGCTCTCATTATCTCCTCTCAACCACATAATAGGAAAAAAATGAGAACACTGTACACAGACCACAGTGAAGAAGGAAAACTTGCCTTGAAATTTTTCAACTGGTAAACCTATTTTCTATAATGCTTAGTAGTGAATCACTCTTAAGTGCTGGACCATTCACTCATGTATGTGTTTTGTGCCAAAGGTTATCAGATTGCAAAAGTGTTCACATCTTAGAAAGAACCCATCATTCACCATCACCTTACTCTGACACAACAGGAACAAAATATGTCTCTCTTGAAGGAATAAGAGAGGAGGGAGAGAATCCCATATTAACACTGCCACACATTTTCTAAGGGAAAAGTACAGACTACTGTAATGATAGTAGAAAAGTTACATTTTTACATTACGGGATGAGATCTTCCTGATTATTTTAAGCCCATGGAGTCTGTAAGATGGAGAAAATTAAAATGGAGCCTGATGTTCTCAATGGAAGGTAGGCCAGCTGCCTTCTGCCAGTCTCTTGCCAACTCTCTTGTTTATTTTGTGATTATAACATCCTCATATTCTTTGATTATACAATGGCCCGCTCGCCTTTGCTGTCCTTCCTTCTCCCAGTTCAGGCAACACGGAAAGTACGTTCTCCTAAAGATACAAGTAGAGTTTTTTCTGAATTGACTGATGGCTTCCTGTGTTTAGTATGGATTCCTGCCTGTTCACAGCAGACACCAAACCTGTGTTTCTTAGTCCTTCGCATGTATCAAAATAGCTTCTCAGTAATACACTAATTCTGTTTATGTGGGTAATTGTTAGGCTAGGTCAGGTGCTCAGGTCTTACTTAGGCTGTGTTCACCCCAGACTTGGCACATAAAACCCTTAAAAGCTACTGTTTCCTCAGTCCCACAGATAGAATGGTGCTACCTCACAGTGTAGATTCTACTCATTCCATCATATGATGAAATTGGGGTTTGCTGTTCCAGATGATGCTGTCACCACAAAGTTGAGGCTAGGAGAAAGTGCTTATTTGAATACACCCACAAACAGCATTGTTTGCAAATCTGTCCTCCCATCACACACCTTGTGAGACTAACAGCTGAAGAAAGATTTCTGAGTATTTCACTTTATACCACTATCATTTGTGAGATTAATGACTGAAAAAAAATCACACATGCTTGTGCAGTTATCATTCTGTCCATGCTTCTGTCACTGTTACACTGACTGAGGCAGCTATTTGAAAAACATTACTGTCATTTACAAATAAAAAAAGGGATGTCATAATTGCAAAAATTACCTATTGTATTACTGTATTTTCTAAAATGAAAGACTAACACAAAAAGTAATATGACATTCAGCAGGTGACTGTAGGCTCAAGATCAAGAAATATGCTTCAGCAAATAAAAAATGAATCAGCTAAATTAATCACAAAGGTTTAACATCTGGTTCCCATGTTACTAACCTTAAAGGTAAACTTAAGAGATATTACTAGAAAACTTCAAATGTAAGATTGATTGATTGCATGGCCAAAGAAAAGCACAGCTACAGCATACAACAACAAAGATATACATTTCTGCTGCAACTTAAGCATATTATTGTAAGTGACATTAGAAAACTCAGGTTAAAAAAAAAATCAGAGATGAGAGCTGCTTGTGGAAGTTCATTACTTTCACATTTCCACCTCTGAAGAAAGGAATCCCCTTTCTGGCACATCATACAATTTTCTTTGACAGTTTCACTGATAAGCACTTACAGTTTCCTCAAATGGTAACACCCATACCCTCACAAAATACACAGATGTTATCTGATAATCAGAAGCCATCTAGACAACAGATAGCTCTTCTCATTTTTCTCAAGGTGCAACACGAACCCCGAGCCTCACGGGAGGCTGCAGAGAATGATTCCTGCAGCAACCCAGGCTGGGAGCCATCCCAGCGCAGCACCAACCAACCCGTTCAGTTTGCGTCTCATAGAGCCTCAAGGCAAACACAGCCAGCAGGAATTCTGAGCATATCCTCAACAGACCTAAGTCCTCGGAGGCTCAGTGATTTAAAATAAACTAATGGCATTTGCAATAGCAAAGAATCTAACCGTGTCTGGGGATGACTGTCATTGCCTCTGGCAACTGCCTCTCACAGGCTGCTGCGGGCTCACACTCGAGGCAGATGAGCTGCCTTGTGTTACTCCTGCTTTGATGAATAGTCTTTGCAAGATCAGTGCTCTGAGGAATCGAGCGCTCCTTGGAGATGTTAGCTGCCAGCATCACCGGCTCAGGGGAAAAAAGGTAGAAAACCATGATATATATCTCCAAGGGGAACAATCGGCAATATTCTTTCATTAACTTAGGACCAATGGGGAACCGCAACGTCACTTCACTATCAGCTGGTACTTGAGCAAAGCAAAAACCGCATCACCTCATACCTGCCTGTCACGCTCCACGAGGCGTTCCGGCCCTGCCCGCTCACCTCAGGGCTGCCCGCTGCCAGAGGCGCGAGGGCGCGGCACCGTGCGGCGAAGGCGCAAGGCGCACTTCACGGCCACCCTGGCGCACCAGAGCGGGATGCGCATGCGCGCGCAGAACTACAGCTCCCATGATGCACCTCGCCCGGCCGGCCCTGCTTACGCCGTAGGGCGCCGAGGGCGAGGCCTGCTCGTCACGGCGCGCTGCACGTCGGGCGTCGTCGTTCTCGCAGCCGCGTCGTCGGCGGTCGGCAGAAGGGGTGGTGTTGAGGCCTCTGAAATCGCCCGCCGCCCTCTCGCGTCTTTCCGCGCCCGTTCTCGAGCGAATTCCTGCGATCGCTCCCCGTCGTCTCGCGTTGAAGCCTCCGCGGCCGCCGTAAGTCCCCGCGCCCCACGGCGCGCTGCGGCCGGTTTGAGCCTCCGCGCCCGCCGTAGGCCGCCGCCCGTCAGCTGCCGCCGCCTTTGTGGAACGGGCGGAAGCGGAGCGGGCGCTGGGCCCAGCCGAGGTTGGAGGGCACGGAGCCGAGCGGGTCTCGCCAGCAGGTGCGCGGGATCTCACAGCGGGGCCGGGGCCGCTGTGCCGCCGTGCCGCCGCTGTGCCACCCGGCCCGGCCGTGAGGGGTGCGGCCGCGGGTGGGGCCTGGGAGCAGAGCGCGGCCCGGCCGTTGCCGCTCTGCAGTGCCGGCGGTGCGTTATTTTCTGTTAACCCTTCCACGTTGGCAGAGAACGTGGCTGAAAAGCTGCCGACGTGTGCGCCAGGGTTAAGGTGGGAGGCTTGCATGGAGCTCCGCTCTTAGGTGTGCTGTGCAGACACGTGTGGGTGTTCTTGTTTTGCACTTGTGAAGGCTTGCGTCGCTGGTGCGTGTGTGTAACAGCTGTAGGGCCCGCAGCCATGCTGGAGCCATTCCTGTGCTTTGGTTACTGGCGTGGATGTGCTGAGCAGGAAGATGCGGCTGCTGTTGGCCCTCCCTGCTCACACGGCTTTTCCTGCCTGTCTTCCGACTCATCGCCTCCTGAAAGGGTTTGGGTTTGGTCTGCTTTTGTTTATGCTTGGCTTTCCCATCTGTGCTTAACCAAATGACTTATCTAACAAGTCTTTGGTAGAATTTCTGTCTTTTGAAGCCCCGCTCATTTCTTAGCAGCGTACACAAGATCTATAAATGAAAGACAAAAAATGAAAGACAAAAGATTAGTGATGCACATACTTTACAGGGTGTTTTTTGCCTCCCTCCAGTTACCTACTCTCCTTGCCAATTACTGTAATACTACCACATCTTTGATTAGGTTGGTGTTTTGGCTACTGCAAGCACATCTAACAGGGTACATCATGTTCATCCTGCTAGGTTATAAAGTGCCAGTAATTTAGGGGATGCAGTGAAAAGTAAAGACGTGTGGGCACCCTTCCTACTGTTTGCTGTGTGTAAATACTGTAGGTGGCTCTGGCACTGCATAGAATTCTGTGCAACATAGTATAACCTCGTCTTCAGAGCTCCATGTATCATTCAAAGTAGTGTCTCAAAAAAGCTTCAGAAATACATTGGGAAAAGGTGCTGTCACCTTGTCGTCCTTTTGTCTTTTAAATCAATCTTTTTAGCAGTGAGAATCTGCTAAGTGTGAAAACAGGAATGTAACTTCAGTTATGATTTTAGGACTTTTCACTGTTCTGTCTTTAGCCACTTAGCATAGTTGCATTAACGATAGCAATTTTCCTGTAAATAAGCAATCTTAACCAAACAGAACCTTTTGAAGTGATTTCTGTGTTGATCAGTGTTGCAGTCATGTCTGACAAAAGTGAACTGAAGGCAGAGTTGGAGCGCAAGAAGCAGCGATTGGCTCAGATCAGAGAGGAGAAGAAAAGAAAGGAGGAAGAAAGAAAGAAAAAAGAAGTAAGAAACTGTTTTCTCTTTGAAAGCTGGCTGTTTGGTTATGTAACTTGCCCCAAACATATGTAACGTGCCTAAAAAGAGAAGGTTCACGTAGTCATTTGCTGCGTGTTACCTAGGGAATGTCAATTTAATGATCTGTGCAAGTGTAGTGCTTATGTTTTGTGAGAATTAAAAAAAAACCTGCTTTTTAGAATTATCCATGCGGTAAGGTATTTGAAAATGCCTGCGTTTTTAGAAATAAGAACGATGGTCTTGTGTGCATGGGACATTGTTAATGAAATTACTGTGAGGAGTGGCTGAAGTATTACTCAAAAACTCTGTTTCATTATTTGCAATGGCATAATTTAGAGAACTCCGTTCTAAAATGAAGTTTCAGAGATGTCTGTCTGTCGGTATTGTTACCATACAAACAATGTACTGTGTTCTTTGGCTCTCTTACTCAAGATTTGTTATGCTTGATTTCCTTCTGCTAAGTTATGTGACAGCCTGTGGTACATTGCTAAATTTCTCCTGAAAGGGGATTATACATCATAAACAGAATGTCTGCTGAAGTACTTCCGTGTGCTATATCACCTCTTCATGACGTCTCTTCTTTTAGTTACAATCTTCAAGATGTTCTCAGTTAGCGTATGACTGAAGCCCAGGCATCTGCCAGCAAAATGATTCAGGGAAATCCTACACTTGTGCTCTGATGATGATGTAATTCTGCATTGCCTGTGCTTGTGCTTCCACCCGATACAGTAGCTTATCAATTGGGAACTTGCTCTCAAGTTTGGAAAAGGCTTTTTTCAAAGATGTGCAGTAGGTCAAAGGTATAATGTGCAGTCATGGGAGGAAACTTTCTTTATTCTGTAGGATTATTGTAACTGGGTCTGGATTTTGCTGCTTCTGTTGAAGTCTAGTATTTCTATAATAAAAATTAAAAATACGTGCTTGCCAGTGACTGACTTGTGGACACTTAAGCTAGGAGTTAAATTTATGTAGTTGTGTGAGCAGTTAAATGAAATTGGGAAAAAATGGAGAGATCAGCATCTTTCACTGAAGAGCCCGCATTATTTCTAAATTGCATGTGAGTAAGGGTGTCATTTTATGCCTTTTTTTTGTGTGCATGTGAAATCTAGCAGATAATAAAACAACTTGAACAGAACTAATAAAGAAACTTTAAAAAAAAAAAAAATGACTTGAAGACAGTACTAAAGCTACAAAACCCCTTATTCCTCCTGGTTTTACTTTATCTACAGAAAGATCTATCAGAATTATTAACGAGGTGTGTAATGTGTCTTATAGGTTTTAGCAGCACAGAAAACATAGTGGTTAGATCTCAGAAATAAGATGAAACTGTTCTTAATGCCTTTTAAATACCTTAATGCAATTATTGAATTATTTCTAGACTGATCAGAAGAAGGATGTTCTTCCTGTTCAAGAAGAATCTGACCTTGAAAAGAAGAGAAGAGAAGCTGAAGCATTACTTCAGAGCATGGGCTTGACACCGGAGTCTCCTGTCGGTAGGAATATTCCTAGTATTTTATGAGATAAATGTTTTACCCTTGTTAGTATTTGTGGCGATTATATATTGTTTCATTACATATCACTAGTAATAGTTGTGTAAGATATATTTTCAACTCGGTAGATTATTTGGAGTGTTTTGATTATAATATTACACATGTAATATTATATTCCGCTTGCACATTATTATTCTGATGTTTTTTGTTTGTTTGTTTTTTTCCTCTTTCCATAATGCTTAGTCTTTAGTTCTGAGATTTTCTTATGACATTGGCTCATTTTCTTGCTGCGTCCTTTATTTCCTAATTTTTCCTTATCTTAAACTGACTACCTGACTGACTTTGATGGAGAAGTAGCAAAGCTAAGTATAAAATCTAACTGTCAAGGATTCATATCTATTCATATCTATGCTGCTCTTCTATGAGTTGGTTTATTGTATTGTTGCTTTTTGCCTTTACTTAGCCGCCTCCCTTTGGAAGATGAAGGTGAAAAGGGTGGTACTTCAACTCTGCTTTTTTGTCTCTAGTTCTGAAATCAAAGAGGAGTTAAAACTTAGTTTTCAGTTTGGCTCGGTGGTGACAAGAGTCTATTTCAACTGAGTTTGCAAACAAAAAGTAATAGTAATTGGTTATGGCTATATCTGTGATTACATCTTCACAACTGTTTTTGGACAGTCCACACATTATAAAAGCACAGCAAATGACATTGAAGAAACCTTAGGGTAAGGTAGAGGAAAAAAGCATGCTTATCCTTTTTATAAGAAACCACTTGTTCGTGAATGAAGAACTTTCAAGTTAGCATACTCTACTGGGATAGTGCCACCAGAGGGCACTGTAGCATCAAACGAAGCTACTGATTTTTTTTTTTTTTGGCGTGCTTACCCCGAGATAGAGCAGTATAGGCAGTTCTAAATGGTAAGTTGCTAATTTCACCTGTTCAATTAAAAGAAGGTGACGTTAAAGTGCCATCATTTCCAGTAATGCACAGAAACGTTGGAATGTACAGGCCTACAGACATTGCTTTTAGTATAAACTGTTCAGTAGGTGGTGGCGGTGAGTTGCAGAACATGAAAGCTTCATACGCATCCATATACACTTATGTATTTATGAAGTATAACTATATGATTTTGAGATGTATATGAAAGTCCCCTTGTAGGCATGCAATTTTAATAAATAAAGCCCATTAATTAAAAACAGTCAAAATCCTGACTGTTTTTCAAATTCAGGATGGAATTTCTGTCAACCAAAACCATGTCTCTGTTTTGGGATAGGATGGAGGCACTCTTCAAAATTCCCAACATTGTGGTGATTTCAAGAAATTCTCCTGAAATGTTGCATACCTGAATTCAGAATTCTCCCTCAGTACTCACCCTGCCATGATGGATACCAATTAGTAGCTGTAATTTGTTGGTTGAAGTTTCTTCTTTAGTGTTGCTAAGGAGTGAATCTGTACAATGAATGTTTCACATTTCTAAAAGCATAAAAGAAACTTGAACGTGCATCCTTATTCTTAAGCATAAACCTAAGGTTCATTAATAAGTTTCACTGCTTCTTTGAAAAATAAAAGTCACTTTCTAAAAGAAAGGTGTTTTGAAGTAGCTTTGTGTTGCTTAAATTGCATGAGTGCATGGTAATCATTTGTTGTTATGTATCCTTTCCAAAAAAAACCATGTTGCTTCATAAAATGCAATTGCAGTCTTCATCTAAGTGATGGGAATGAACTGACTTCTATCAACAAGTTCTACTGTATCAGTACCAGGCTGCTTGTCATGTGAAAAGAGAGGAAGCGTGAAGATTCCCCCGTAAAATGCACCACTAACAAACATTTGTGTGACGCACTGAACTTTGGTGATTTGGTTACAGCTAAAGCAAAAATATGCTCCATCACAAAGCCACTTTTTTTTTGGTCTGCACTTCTGTCATTATATGATCAGAAGCAAAGATACAAAGCTAAATACTTTTAGTTTTCTGAAAAAACAGATATTGATATCAGAGCTATGTTAACAAGTGCTTTTCTTTGATGTGTAAGCAACATGATTTGGTGGAAACACCCTTTGAAAACTGGTGCTACCATTTGTTAAAAGTTCAGATTTTAAAGATTTATTTTCCTTTCTTTTCTTTTAATGCCTTTACCTCCATATCTTCTTGTATGCACCAGATGCATAAATACCAAACAATTGCATGGAATCCAGCATGAAATGTTAACATTGTCTTTTCCCCTCTCTTTCTATTATTCATTTTCATCCATGTTTTTTTTTGTTTGTTTGCCATCACTTTTTTTTTTAATACTTCATGTTGAATTAATTTGAAAACATCCTAAGCTGTGCAACCTCTGCGAGTAGTAACAGCGGATACCTGTCTGTTTCACTATTTAGTCCCTCCTCCTACCTCTCCGTCTTCCAAATCCGTGAGTACGCCAAGTGAGGCTGGGAGCCAGGACTCCGGCGATGGCGCCGTTGGATCCAGGTATGTCACCTTGTTTGCTGTTGGGCTTAATGCTTACATTCAGGATAATTAAACTTAAGAAATCAAGGGTTGACTCTACAATAATGTTGAATCTGTGAACAGTGGTTAACTTACAGAAGTGCTTTACTTTAACATTTGAAATGCAACTGCACAGAATGAATTTCAGATTGCTAATGTGATCTTTGGAGCTTTTTAAACTTACAGTTTTAGAGCTTAAACTTTAAAGAGTCTGAATGTCTTGTGGTAATATCCTTGTAAGCATGAATACCTCTGACAGTAAAACAACTAAGGGGTCAAACTTCTGAGCTCTTTTCAGCTTTCTAATGGATATAGGCTGTCTCCTTCCCTCCATTCTACTCGATCTAATAAGAGATACTGTCTACAAATTTTGCCTTGTTTCTACTTTTTGGTTGTTGTTGGTTTTTGTGTGTTTTTTTTTTTTTTATAGTCAGAACTATATTTCTCAAGATCTTCTACCTTGTAGCCATTTTCAGAACTTGTCTGTACCACTTAGGATCTCTGTCATTTGGCCGAAGGATAGCATTAGTACAGCCATGGTTGGTTTGGTTTTTTTTTTTCAATTCCAGTGCTTTTTCTATCCCTCTGAGTGATGTGTTGTGCATAACAGCTTCAGAAATGCTTTCTAGTCAAATATTTCTGTTAAACTACAAATTGAGAGTGGAGATTCATAGGTGAAAATTTTTTACTGTTTCTCAGGCCCAGTCTGTGAACACAAGCAACGCTTGCCTATTAATATTGATATATTTTTTTCCCCCACAAGATAATTACTCATGTGCTTTAATTTCCTGAATATACATTGTGGGTGAAGTTTAGTTAAAGCACAGCTATCTCAAATTACATTCATGCTTATATGAGTCTTTGCTTTAGAGAAGGACTGAATACTTAAACCACTTTGAAACATCTTTTGGAAGGGCTGTAGGAAATCGTTGTATGCACGTGGGTTACGTCTGTGTCACTACATGCCATCTCTGCCTGAAAATAGTCAAGATTTTAATGTGCTGCACAAAGGTTTACGAGTTGTTTAATTCTGAGCAGGAACTAGTAAGTCAGTACAGGCAGAGAGGAATACAACAAGCAGCAGGTATGAACCTCAAGGTTTTTTTAAATGCTCAGGTGCAGATTTGTTGGCAGATTAGCTTATTCATAGTGCAATTGGAAATCACTTGTCATGTAACTGAAAAATCAGTAGTGTTCTCAACTGGGCTACTAGCAAGTTTTAAGTTATTTGAGATCTGTTATTACCGGCTATCAAATTGTCACTTTCTATTTAAATTTGCTTCCTAGAATTAAAAAAAATAGGTGATTTGATATATAAATTCACTTAAGGTGCAACAAACTTCTGGGAAACAAAAGAAACAGTATTTTATATCCATGTGATACATAACTAATAGATTTATTGTATCTCTGAACATTACTTTCTTAAAACAATATTTGAGGAAAAAAAATAGGTACCATAGTACTTGTTTTGTTAACTATTCAAAAGGCAAGTAAGGCAGGTTACCCCTGGTCTGACTGAAGAGCTATTGCAAGTGTTTTTTGTTGTTGTATACACTTCTAGAAAATAATTTAATCTTTAAAAAAAAAAAAAAAAAAGCTTTGAAAAGCTGAGGGTAACCTCAGTAAGAGCTAAGCCTTAAGTAGGTGGTGCTTTGCTTTGCTCTGTTTCATTTTTTGTATCCATGGAAAATTGAATCTGTGCAAACCATCTCCAGCCTGAAGTCTTGGGCACCAAACTTGTCTATTTCATCAAGACAAACATTAGGTGCATAAAGAAAGAGCACAGGCAGAATAATTAATTTTGTGCACAAAACATACATAAAGGTTTTAGAGATTCAGATATTAAGCTATGGCAATGGATGTAATGTATATTATGTAGAATGATTTGGCCATTGAGTACGGTGGATTTGTAATAATTATTTTTAGTGTGACTAGCTATTCTTCTAGTACACTCTCTACAAGAATGAGGTAATAAATGGAGCATTCACAGTTTTGAGTGTTCATTGGCTTATAAATTTTGGCAATCAGTTTTACCTTTGAATTTCTGCACTTGCTTTCTAAGAGCATTGCCATGCATGGGATACAAGTGGAAACCTACTTTTTACTGACTTGCCTTAGTAGAATAATGGGTTCTTTGTTTTTGATTTGCTGTAAAACATCTAAAAATCTTAAAATGTTTTAAAACATAGCATCTAAAAGTTTCAGAAATCAATGCATGTTTGTCTGTTAATCTGTTATGTGGTCATTCTTAAACTCTGTCTGAGAGCAGGAGTTGGACTAAGTGAAAATACGAAGGGGGAGGCAAGTTTCCACTTCATTTTTCTTTTAATATGAAAGTGGCTTCAAGTGGATCTATTCTGTTTGTTGTTGAGCAGGACTTTGTAATGTGTTACTAATATTAAGTCTGCTATTTCCATGGGATTTAAATATCTTCAGTGGAGTTGGCTCTAACACAGATGACACTTAGAAGCCCAAGGCAGTGCTTAACCCGTAATTACTGCAGTGTCACAGCTTGGAAACTCTAGCAGTTCTCTTTCCCAGTGGAAATGCGTTTTTGCCCCTCTACCAAAAGGTTTGTGTGTTGATTCATTTCCTTTACCAATATGACCATTTCCTCCACTGCTCTGGGCAAGATTGCGTTATATTAACAAATCTGTCATCTTAAGGCATGGACAGATATGAACAGATTTAGAAAGGAAGTTCTTAGTAGTTCTCATCACTGTTTAAAATGTCTGTATTAGCCTGTCATAAAAGCTACATTTGCAGATCTTTAACTTTCAGTCTTTACAAGAATTTAATTCTTTCCTAATAGCTCTGGGGTCTGTTTTTGCTTTTTAACTTTTGCATTGACTGCATGTATCGTTGCACTGAATATTTGCTGAATTTCTTTTAAGTGATGTTACATTGTTTCATTTCTCGTGAACAGTGAAATAACTATGAGCTTACTGTAACTCTAGGATTTCATAGTGTGTATTTGCTTCACTAATCTCTGGCCTTTTTTGCTAATGCTGCATGATTTGTTCAACCTGTGGTATCAGGACGCTGCATTGGGATACTGATCCATCAGTTCTTCAGCTCCACTCTGATTCCGATCTGGGGTATTGCATAGATTTCTTATATTCCTTCTTTCATACGCTTGCAAATAATGAGCATAAGAGCTTACTTTCTTTTTCTTCAGACTTTGAGTTACTGTTAGGAAACTGTTCTGTGAGTTAGAGAGGTTTAGTGTCCTTAGATGTAGTGCAGTTGGCTCACAATGGGAAATGTTGGTCTTATTTAATGTAAGTGACATACTTATTTCTAATAATAGAGCTTTCTTACTAACGTTTTTCTTTGAGTCTTCCTTTGGCAAGATGCAAACTTAACAGTAATGTCTTGATAATGCTTAGAATAACTATGTTTAAAAATGGAATGACTCCCATCGTTTCTTATGATGCGCATAAATGACAAATATGTTTATAGAAGCTGTAACTCATTATAATCGCATAATGAAACCGTTATGCTCTGAGTTACGATTCTGCCCAGAAGCTTTTCCTTTTCTCTTCCCACTTCTAACTTAGAAAATAATACGAAATTTTGCTTCTTATAGGTACTTAAAAGAAAAATGGATTATTACTACTGTACATTTGATAATTAGGTTGAGCAGAATGTTACAGAAACTGAATTAATGTTTTGTTGGTTTTGGAAATACATTTTGCATTGTAATTTGATCCTGGCTGCTTCCATATTTCTGACATGTCTCATAAGCTAAAGGCAGAATATTTTAAGCTTTCCAGTGATGTACACTGGAGTATTGCACCATGGATAAGTTATTTGTCAATATGTGACCTTCAGGCCTGCAGCTTAGAAGTAAATAAAAATGATGACAAAATTGAATAATCTAGAAAAATGCTTTTTAATTCAGAGTAATGAAGCTGGTTTGTTTAAGTTTAGAAGTCCTAAAACCCCTACAAACACAGCTCATGCAGGCAGATCTGTCCCACCGACAATATGGGTATTTCACATATGTAGCAGTACTGTATGTAGCTGCAAAGAGCAAAACTTTAGAGTGATATCATTTAATTGAGATACCTGTGTATATTTGCACATTTTTGTCTTAGCTGTGGATATAAGTGACTTTAAATAATAGTTATAATAAAGTGTTGATTTTGATCTTGTGGCTTTTTCAGGGATAAGTTCCCACTGGTCTTAAGTTTCACAAAGCTATGCTGTGATTTGATGATTTTTGTATTACTGTAGACAGAATACAAAGTAATTCATGAAGTTAACTTCTTTTTCCTTGATGTTTCTATTAATTTTATGTAGACGCGGACCTGTTAAACTTGGAATGGCCAAAATCACACAAGTTGACTTTCCTCCTCGGGAAATTGTTACGTATACAAAGGAGACACAAACACCTGTTATGACTCAGCCAAAGGAAGGTAAATGTTAATGCAGTATTTTTCTTTTTTTTTTTTTTTTTTTTTTTTTTTAGTGATTGGCTGAATTAGAGCCAACAGTTTTGATCTCAAAACTTAATGTGGTAGAATGGCTGTTGATTTGTGATATAATTCGTATAAATTCTACTGCTAAACACTTGTAGGCCTGCCTTAAGAGCGTTTCTACATCTTGTTGGCATTCTACATCTTGTTTAATTGTAGCATTACTCTTACTGATAATATGTGGTAATTTATTGCTCGGTGTATATTTAGGCATTCAGTTTCTTAAGTAGCTGTCAACCAATAAATGAAAGTAGGATATATTTTGGATTGAGAACTCTCCCACAACTTTTTTGGAAGCATTGTATCTATACAACAAACTGAGTGAACGGAGTGACAGCAGGTATGTTTTTTCTCTGACTGCATATCCATAAAGTGGAGAGAACAACCTCTCTTAATTCTTGTATCTTGACACTTTAAAATGCTGCTAGTGCCATGCTTTTGTGCAAAGGATGATGGGAACATTTTCATTAGATATGCTTGGCAGTCCTGTTAGCTTTAGGTCCTTTTGTGCTGTAGGGTGTACTGTGATGACTTTGCTGCAAGATAACAATCCTATTTGTTTCGTTTCTTAATTTCCTAGGATGGTTGCTCCACAGAAAAGTTTAGCTGAATTTCTGTCTAGTTACATATTTACTTTTGCTGCAGTGTATGTAGTAGCTGTCCACTGCCAACTGAGAAAGCTTTTTCTCTTCAAGACCTTCCAAACTGGAGCATGCGATTGCCTTTTTCTCATGTACAAGAAAGTTACTAGAATTTATATTAGCAAACTTATATAGCAAAGTACTGCTACTTTCACTGCAGCACTTCTGTGTCTCAGGTGGTTGCATACTTCAATTTGTGAGCTGAGTTGAGAAACATTCAAGCTATAACTAATCTGGTGGTTCAGATAGGAAGTAGAAGAAAGCTAACTTAAAACTAAAAGAGTTGATAATTGTGTAGAAGCCTTTATAGCACAACAAATGAAGTGACTGTTACATAGGGGAGGCTTTGAAGGTCAGGTTTAAGTTATAGGCATGAAGATGCCCATTTGGGGTTTGCTGTAAGAAAGCTAAATTCAAACAATGAGTACCTGGTTTTAAACAGGTTCTGGTTTTAAACAATGGTTCTGGTTTTAAAATGCAGAGGTCACTCATCTCAGACGCTGACAGAATGGACAGCATTCAGTTGTTCCAAAACCTAAGCCAGGGCAGTTCCATGTGCTTCTAGTTAGAGAAGAGAGGTAGGCTAAGTTTGTATGATTGTGCTTCTGTGTAGTACAGATATGCTGTACCATCCTAGGCAAATTAAATATGGAGTAACTCTTCCCACTATCTTGTCAGCTGCAACCAGTTTGAGCCACATCTCCACTTGATGTGAAAGTATGTCAAGATTGCATGCAGCCATTGGTGCTGGAGCCAGAATGTGACCTCGGTGCCAGTGGCACTATTGCCTCTTTGTGCAAAGAGTTTAAGTACTAATATGTTGCCTTATTATGTCCTTAAAGTGTTCGAGAAACAGTTTGTCTTGGGAAGGTGGCTCTTTTTTAATTTATCCTTTAAAAGAATAAAATCAAGACGTCTCCTAGAAATCAATTTCAATTTATGATTAGGATAGATGTAGTTTTCTTTAGAGTAGGAAATTTTCTGCTACGGGATGCAACTTACCTGTACTGTACAGAATATTCAGTTTCCCCAAGTGAAGTTAATAAGCGTGTTTCATAGTTTTTGTAGGAGGATGTCCAAGTCCAAAGTAGGCTTAGAAGGTAAATCCACAGTATTTTAAGCATTTCTCGTACGAAGACTGGAACCCACAGCTGCTTTTTCCTCTGATTTCAATTTATGCAAGCCCATCACTAATGACACAGGAGAAGCACAGAAATAGTGTTGGGGTAGATATCTTTGTGCTCAAAACCTCTTGTTTAGATTTTCATCAAAACATGTCTTCAGTATTTAATTTTTTCACATCTTTGTTCTTTTTTTCCAGATTTTTCAATAGCCTTAGTATTCTAATCTTACTGTAGCAGCTGTATTTATCATGTGAAAGAAATAAAATGTAGTCATGAAATGGTTTGTCGTTCCAAGGGATGCAGCAGAGACAATAGTTATCTTTTCCTCCCTCCTAACATGCTGTGTTTGTTTTGTTTTTCTCAATCTGTAATGATGACCTGTTCTTTGGATTAGGGACCAAATACGTTTATTGTGGCTTAAGGGTTGTGCCACACTTGGTGCTGTTCTCCCTTATTTCATAACTAATGAAGCTTAACACCTGGGTCTCTACAGCATTACTACCACTTCAGTAATTTTTGTCACCATCATAACAGGAACATACTGTTATGCTGCTCCATTCCCCAGCATCCTCCTTCTGCCATCCCTATTTCTGCTGTCTAATTCTATTTCTCACTTCCCACGATGCTGTGTATAACACTCCTGCCTGCTTCTCTCATTGTCCAGTTTTGGTGGATGTGCTTTTCAGTTAGTATGGTCAACTGGTTATTAGGATTACTATTTGGCCTCTACTTGGCATACTCTTATCAGGCAACAGGCTTTGGATCTACTCTCTGAAGATATATTTGAAATTGTGTTCCCTTTGTACGTTTATTTCTTTTTAGCAGGCTGCAGTAGAAGCAGTTTTAGCAACAGAGAAGCAGATTTGTTTGTATTCTGGAATATGTCTTCATGTTCTGCAGGTCCTGTGTTGGCTACTGAGTTCAGTAATTGTTGGTGCAGACATTATTCTTATCTGTTCTTGTTGCCTGGCTGTCTGCCTTACTATTTGGTCTCTTACTTTTTGATTTGCTTAGCGATAGTTGGAATATGCACGAGAAGAAGTCACCAGCACAGCCAATAGAAAGATGTGTTCTTGAGTCCTTGAAGTGGTTAATGTAAGGAAAGATAGCTGTACAGTTGAATACACTTCTGCTTACCTCTCAGTCAAGACGTTTCCCAGCAAACAGGATATTTGCTTGGTGTCACTGTACAATGCAGTGCGTATGCACTCAGCACTGCCTGCAGACAGTATTGCTCCACTAGCTTTACTTCTTGAGGAATTTGAGAATTTCATTTAAGAATGAAGATACCAAGTACTTCTGTCTTTTTAATTCTCACTTCAGCAGACTGACAACAACTTGGGGGTATATGTTGGTTTCTCAGATGCTTGAATGTATGCTCAGATGCTTACTGTGAATGTACCGTTTTAATGTTCTAATATTCTAAGAAGAAATAACAGAGCCTTATACATTCACATATTGCCCTGTGCAGGTCTTAAATGTACAGTGAAGTATATGTAGGAAAAATTGGTATGAAGATATCTCTGCTTAACAAAAGCCACCCATTTCACAGATGATTTAACTTTGATTAACCTATTCTGCAGCAACAGATTACTCAGACAACTGGAACTTCACTCTATAGCGTTATCACTGGGTGCAGCCTAATATACAGCACTGCTTTTCTTTCCACCTTGCCAAAATATATTACAATTTTGATGTAAACTCAAAGTCAAAATCCTGTGGTTCGTTAAACCTGCTTTTAGTGTTCATTGACAAGAAATTTGTCCTTGTGGAAGTGACAGCCTGTGAAGCATTCTTTCTTGCTCGCTTGATAATGTAGGATTCCCAGCTTCCTGTCAGAAAAAAAACATGGACTTAATCACTTGGCATGTTATAAAGAATGTTCATCAATATGTTAATGTGACAGAGTCCTATTTCCAGTGTTCAGAGCCATGTGACTTCCCTAACTCTTACCAGCTGTTTTTATAAAATAAGGAACTGTATGTGGTAGCTGACAGTTGAAGTGCCAATAGGTACAGTCAGTAGAAAATAACAAGGATGAAGTTAGCCAGTGCCTTTGAGATTTCTGTATTCATATAGCTGACACTAAATATGTACACCAGTGTTTCATGTGGATCTTTGACTTGCTAGACGTGCAGCTTCTTTAGGAATTGTATGCCTGAACTGCCAGTGTTTGCTGGGTAATACATTGCTGTTTAGCTGATTCCCTGGAAACACCAGCACCTGAACTAGGTAATAAAATCCAGGTATGTGAGGGAAAAGAGAAGTACAACCAAAACCTCTTAGGTCTTTTTCTGAACAACATCATAGTGCCTTTTTGGACTGCAGGTGCTTGTGAAGCAAGCATTCCACTATTGGGTAATGAGGTCAACAACTTTTTTTTTTCCTGGGATCCAAGAAAGTTTGCATGTGACTTATTTCTTTGAAGAGGCGGTTTTAAGATTTAGGTAGTTACAGATAAATCACAGTGAGATGACATGTTCAATTTCATGTCTGATACTTTGAGAGTATTAAAATAAGTGCTTATCCTGCATTTCAGTCCAGTAATATCAGCTGGCTGTATTCAGTGCAAGTACTATGAAGGAATTTAGATCTCTGTATAATATATGCCATTTATGTTTCAAACATTAAAAGGCACGAGCAATCAGCTATATGATCTTTTGAATAAAATATGTAGATTAGAAGGTCACTTAGCACTAAGGGGTTGACCATCTGCATTTGAAAAGAATTTGACTCCTGTCACTGAAAATGGTGTTTAGAATCAGTGTAGTATGGCTAACGGGGGTTGGGTTGAAATTTCTAATCTGGGACTTTCAGAGCTGGAATAATGTATCCATGGTGACCCCAACGAAATTGCTGAATTTAAGGCATGACTTCAGTCTGCTGTATTGATTGGCTGGGAGAGCGGGGGGGCCATTTTTATAAAAGTATAACTTGAATTTGTTGTCCTGTTTTTGTTGTTCTCAAAATAGCATCTGTTAACTTACATTATGTTTTTTTGTTTTTTTTTAATTAATTAGTGTTCACACTTATCGTGATTTGACATTAAGAATTACGTGTTTTGGAATTGCTGCAAGTTGTAGGGTGTTCAGATTACTCGTCTGCGGTACACGCGAATCCGTCTAAAAGGAGCAGTGTCTTTCTGTTTCTCTGCGTGATTATTTTGCCCAAAAAAGCTTTCTATTTTTTTTAAGTAGCACAAAAGCTGTAATTGGCATGCTTTGTAAGGAAGTGTCAATGTGCAAGAGAGTGGAGATCACTAAGAATTCTTTTACGCGTTCTTTCCCCTTTGCACCACCGCCTCCTCAGCAGGGTCACTGAGATCACTAGCTTTTCTTCAAATGGCCATTTTCACTGGCAGGTGCATTATACCCTGTATTTTCAGATTGTTTTTCCATTCTGAATGTTTGGCAGGTTGATTGCTCTGGTTGCATTGACGGAGAAAGGGCTGACAAATGCGGTTGGGCTGGCTGAAAAGACAGTGATTACTGTTTTCCTTTGTGGCTGATTGAGGCCCTTGAAAGGAAAGATTTTAACCTTCACCATTTGGTTCAAAAGTATGAGCATATATTGAAATCATTCATGCCATTTATCCTAGTTCTGTAAACTTGTCAGAACGTAAAAATCGCTCAATTTCAAGTAATGTAGGATTGGCATACGTCATTATCATTTTGATTAAGTTGGAGTTTGTATTATTGTGTGCATTATACAGTGTCATTTAAAGCTTTCTTTCCTGCAGGTACAGTTATATTTTTATTGCCTACACTATGGAGTTAGAAAGATTTTCAGACCTCTTTAAACCTATCACTATGTGTGTGGTTTGGCAGCTGGTATGGCCTACAAGCTGTATTTTGTTTGCAGGGTAAAGGCTTGTCTGTAGACCTCCTGGAGTGCTGGTAATTGCACAGGCTTGCCATTGGGGAAAGACATGATTGGAAGCAGTCAGGCAGAAAAATGCTGTGCCATCCCATCGCCACCTCATAGCTGAGAGACAATCCTAGCAGTACCATCTGGTTGTTGCTATCTAGTCAGCTGGCTGGCTGCTGGGACCCTGGCTTGGCAGCTGGTTCCCATCCCTTGACCAGGCTTTTTTTTTCTTTTTCTTTGCTTCTCTTGTGTGCATGGATTTTGTGGTTGTTGTTAGGTAGCTGAACGTGGGTCGGGGAGATGGCTGCAACAAACAAACCTAGTCCATGTTGAATACTGCCTTGTTCCTTGCGGTGAGGCATGCAGCAGACTCCCGCTGCTATTCCCTTACAGACAGGTGATGTAGCTGTTTAGCTGATAAAAACAGTCTTTTCAGAAGCTTATATGGGGAAAGCGGATGAAGAAAAGCCAGGAAGCCTGTATTCCACAACACAAAGTAATCTAAACTTGTTTTCTGGTTTATGGTATTCAAGGAATAAAACGCAGAAATGCAGAAAATGCTCTAAGTCCTGTCAGCGTTTCCCAAACAGTAACGTACGTTATTCGCTGCAATTAGAGAAAACACATTTTGCTATGAAGTCCTCACGAACATGGTACAGATAATGAGACTCACCTTTACAGTGACAAAAAAAATGTAATATCACTGTTATTGTCTTCAGCAAAATTTGCCTCTCAGAGTAGCAACCTGAAAGCTAATGTAAGCCATCTTTGTGCCGCGGAAAGACCCATTAGTCTGATGGTTTCAGATCCCCAGTAAGCAGCTGTGCTATAGACTATTTTAGGCGTTTGATTTTTCTGTATTCTGTAGCATTAATGTGTCAGCATGTTACACAGAACGTGCATCAACCACATGGTTGTGTGTGGAATTATAAATGCTTGGAAGAGAGATTTCCACTTTGGATCCTTTACAATTTTTAATGGGTCTTTTTTCAGCTTATACAGGTACGTATTTTAGTGCACCTAAAATCCAGCTGCAGGCAGAGTATGAGATGATGTTATACAGGGATGTGCATCTTATAAATAGAACCATTTTAAGCTAAATTATACCATTCTTATACGTTGAGATTCCTACAGAATGGTACCGTTCCTTTATAAAAACACTGATGGTCTTGTTGTACTTTTTTCTTAGATGAGGAGGAAGATGATGATGTGGTTGCACCAAAACCCTTAGTTGAACCTGAGGAAGTAAAAACGTTCAAAAAGGAAGAGGAGGAGGAAGGTATGGTTCACCTCAGCATTTTGTGCTGCAAAGAAAAATATTTAATACATTTTAACTTTTCCACTGAGTTGAAATTAAATTGAGTGACTTAATATAAAGTGCATGGATGTTAAGCAACGAGTTTTCTAACACTATGCATTGCGATAAATACTTTTGTTTGTTTGCTGTTTCCCTTTCTTGGAAAGAATTTCTGAAAGTATGTGCTATAGAAAGCCTGTAATCCTTTTCCAGCTGCCCCTCACGAACTTACAGAAGAGGAAAAGCAACAAATTTTGCATTCTGAAGAGTTTTTAAGTTTCTTTGACCACTCTACGAGGATTATTGAAAGAGCCCTTTCTGAACAAATCAATATTTTCTTCGACTACAGTGGAAGAGACTTAGAAGACAAAGAAGGGTAATGTGAACGCTGAGTGTTTTACTGTGAACGTACAATGTTTTTGTTTGAAAAAGTGGTCAGAGGTGAACATTCCCTAATTGCCTTCACAGGGAGATTCAAGCAGGAGCCAAACTGTCCTTAAATAGGCAGTTTTTTGATGAACGTTGGTCAAAGCATCGTGTTGTCTGTTGTTTGGACTGGTCCTCTCAGGTAAAAAAAACAAACAAACAAAAAAAAGCCACTAATGTTATACAGTCATCTTTTTAAGTTCTTTTCGTTCCATCCACTTGATCCTTCTGAGTGTAGAATTGAAATAGGCTGTATTTCTAAATGCATTCCTTAGAATACATTTAGAATACAGTTCTTAAATTGTCCATGGTTTGCAAATAGCAAAAAGAATTTACATCTTATGTGAAAAGCAGTAGAACCTTTGAATTATAAAGAGAAAGTCTTCAGCATGTTTGGTTCTTCCTTTATGCTCTTCTTTTCAAAGTTAAGCATTAGCTTCAGAAGACAGCTCTATTAAAGGTAGTGGGTTTTACATATAAAAGTAGATTATGATAAAAGAGCAAGAATTTAATGTGCCCATTTATAATGTTTATGAGCTAAATTTGTAACAACTGCAGTTTTAACTGATGCCATTTCTCACAGAGATTATTTAAGGTTATTTTTGTTTCTCTTTTTCTTTGATCCCTGTTCTGGCAGCACAGAACAAAGAATCTAGGATTGTCTGGACCACTGGCTAATCATCTTGCTCATTGTAAATCTTTCCCATTTTTCAGTACCCAGAATTACTTGTTGCCTCTTACAACAACAATGAGGATGCACCTCATGAGCCTGATGGAGTGGCCCTCGTGTGGAATATGAAGTACAAGAAGACTACGCCAGAGTATGTCTTTCATTGCCAGGTACAGTTCTGTCACATGAGAATAAAGCTGCTGATGAGCTTGGACATCTACCTTCCTTAAGATTGTCAATATAATTATTTCATTGGGCTGGCATTCACTTTAACCACATGTGTTTGCAAACAGATGGTGATAGCTAAAGAACGCAGCTTAGAAACATTCTTCTGTTATAGAATTTCTGACCATTCAGAATTCAGTCTTGTTTTAGAACTCACTTTAATTTACTTGAAAGCTCAAAAACCTTCTTATGTAGTGGCTGAACCACAAAGAAGGTTTGTATGTATGGAGACTGAGCAGAGTTGTATACTACTAGAGCTTAATTTACTGAATAAAATGAAGATGGCCTGAGGAGATATGGAGCAAGGATGAAAACTAGAAACACATGTTGCAAGTGAAACAGGCAGATGGAGGCTTCTCAGTAAATGCAGAAAGACAAAATCTTGCAAATTTCTTCCATTATCTCAAGCCTGAAATAGCCACTTTACTTTCAAAATGTTGTATTTATGAAAAATTACATAGCTGAATCAAAATGTAATCCAGTGTTGTCAGATTACTGTCGAAGCCCAGATTGTAAAAGTAGCTTTGTTATGTTTGAGACAGATTTGTAGGTTCATGGAAAAAATGACCACAGACCGTGGCAAAACATGAATAACTAACTTGTGCATTACTGGACCTTCCCTTGCTAACAAACCATGCTAGGAGCAAGACGAGTTTATGTGAACGGGGTGGGGAAAAAAAGAGAACTTCTGTTTCTGAATACAAGTTAAAACTAAGTACTTACTGGTGTTCACAAAATGTTTTAGAATCCACATGTGACAGAACAATGAAATAGTATATCAAATCAAAGCAAAGAACTTACTGGACAGTTTTTCTTTTAGTTTTAGATGTAGCATCAGTGAATGATAGGATTTTGTGTATCTTTGTGTTTTGTTGTTTTTTTTTTCCCCCTTTCAGTCAGCAGTAATGTCAGCTACATTTGCAAAATTTCATCCCAATTTGGTGGTTGGTGGCACATACTCGGGTCAGATCGTGCTATGGGATAATCGCAGCAATAAGAGAACTCCAGTGCAGAGAACTCCACTTTCAGCTGCTGCTCACACGGTAGGGGGTGAAATATCTACAAAGACTGTTTCTTGTTAAGATGCATTTAACCTCCAGGAAACTCTGTCCGGTGCACTTGATTGATAATGCTTAAATGTTTGTCTATGTTTTCCTGTACTATCGCTAAAGAACAGGAGTATTCTCTGTACCATACTGTGATCAATCTTTTCTCTTTCATTAAATGACATTGTATATTTTGTAGTGTATTAACTGCTCTACAATTGTAATTCCTTTTTCTGATATTATTTCATAATTCTTAGCACCCCGTCTACTGTGTAAATGTTGTTGGGACCCAGAATGCTCATAACTTGATCAGTATCTCAACTGATGGGAAGATATGCTCTTGGAGCCTAGACATGCTTTCCCAGCCACAGGTAAGATAAGTTTGGGTATGTATAGTATCTATGCTGTATAAATACTTTATGCAAATTTAATGAATCTGAGAAGAATTAATAAACATCTTCACAATACTCATTTATACTTAAGCTTAGTAGGTGTTGGATAAAATGCCTTTTCTGCCCTGTGGAACGTTGTAAAAATTATATTATGGTTGGACTAGATGATCTTGTAGGTCCTTTCCAGCCTTGTGGTTCTATGATTCTATGATATTCGCTGTTAGCACAAGAGAGAACTTATTCTTGTACAATTCTACTTAAGTAGAACAACAACAAATCTAGAGAAATCTAAATGACTTTGTAACCGTTAGTGTCTCTTTTCTGTATCTTAAAGCAAGTTACTGGTGTTTTCGCTACAGGATAGCATGGAGCTGGTTCACAAACAGTCCAAGGCTGTGGCTGTTACTTGCATGTCCTTCCCTATTGGAGATGTCAACAACTTTGTTGTTGGAAGTGAAGAAGGCTCAGTCTATACTGCATGCCGTCATGGGAGGTGAATAAAAGCTTTTAATTATTCAAAGGAAATAGAAGCTGTGAAATGATGGGACCGTGTATGCTTTACACCGCTAAAATTGTTTTTAGTACACGTTTAGTCTTTGTTCTTGACAGTCTTTGAAATAGCACTGTTTGAATTCCAGTGCATGCTATTTCCCAAGACCTTCATTAAAACCAGGAGGAGCTTGATTACAGAACTGGTCCTATGCTGTCTGCGTTGGCCAGGAGTTTGCAGTGATGGGGGCAGCGCAGGTCACAGAGGTTTTTATTCATTTGAATTGTAGCAGAACATTCCAAACTTTGTATCAGTTCTGTAGATAATTGTACAGTAACATCACGCACAAATCTTAAATTGGCTAGCTGTTCTCCTGCTGTTCAATCTATTTTGAAATTGTCTGACTGTATCTTATCAATTGCTTTCTTAAATATAACTGAGTGTCCAGTTTTCATCTCAGATACACATCACCCTTGCTGCAGGGCTTTTTGGCTCCTGAATAGCTGAAATTGTATCACTTCTGTGTAACATTCTTTCTATCTTACCCCCCTTTCCCCCCCCCCCCCCCCCCCTTCCCACCGTTCTTTTTTCATCGCTTCTGATAGGAGACTATTAGGGATACATTGTTACTGGTTTATGTCTGAACCCTTATGTGTCCACAAGCTGTACTTGCAGCTCCTCTTTTAAGTCAGTGGGAGTTTTGTGCTTGTTCCTGAGTCTGGATTTGGTTCTTTATATGATTCAAAGTTTTAGCTATTGCTTTAAAACAACACAGTTAAATGTGAGTGGGCTGGTACCTGCTGAATGAGTCTCTGCACCCCATGGTCGATTTTTGGCACTTAAAGAGAGCAAGAAAAATGTTGAAATTGAAGTCAGTATTCAAGCCTGGTCTTCAGTGAGCCTGTTGAGATTAAGCCTTTGCAGTTGGGCAGACATCCATTCAAAGCAGCAAAATCTTCTTGAGGTTATATTTAAAATGCGTTTCAGTGCTATCTCTGTCTGCAGATGTATGGTTTCCAGAGAAATTAACTTTGGTTATATATTCTAAAACAGCAAAGCTGGAATCAGTGAGATGTTTGAAGGACACCAGGGACCAATCACAGGTATCCACTGCCATACAGCAGTTGGACCTGTAGACTTCTCACATCTTTTTGTCACCTCTTCTTTTGACTGGACAGTAAAGCTTTGGACAACGAAGGTAACTATAATAGACAGTTCAGTGGTTTTCTTCATAGTCCTTGACACAAGGTGGTGCTATAATGTAAGCTGCTCAACTCAGGAAACTTAGGTAAACTGAAGACAAAGTGTGTGAAGCTCTCCAGATCCCTACCAGTAGTCCACGTGATTCCTAGTGCTTGTTTTTTGGTTTACTGCAAAGAGAAGACAACTGATGAACGAAACTAATTAACAACATAAAGATGTCTTTGCTTTCAGATTGTACATCATTTGTGTACTTCTGATCCATTCTGTTCATCCTTTTGCCCTTTGTTATCAACAGTGATTACAGTGTAATCAAATACAAATCATTGTTAAATTCAGTTACTTCATGTAATGCATAAGACAAATGTTTTGCTACAATTTTGTGGAGGACTGGGAGACAGCACCAAAACTAATCTCAAACTGCATTTAGAGACTTGCAATTGACACACATGGTATTCATTTTGCTGGAATTACCTCTTCTGTTGTGCTGATTTCCTGAGGAACACAGTGCTGTCATGGAATTAGCTTTTTCGTGATGTACAAAATGTTTTAATGTGTTAAGTTTAAAATCTCTTACAGTATTGGCTTGCTACTGATTTCTTTATAGTAACTTCCAAGATAAGACTTTGTGCATTGGAATGTATGTCTTTGATAATACACTTAGTTTCTGGCTGCTTTTTGCAGGGACTGTTTGGGTTTTTTACGTTATTGATAAGTTTTGTGTTTTGCCTTACTTGACAGAATATGAATTGCAGACTTGGGATATTGCATTATGTCGTCTTTTTTTTTCCAGAATAACAAACCTCTCTACTCATTTGAAGACAACTCAGATTATGTTTATGATGTTATGTGGTCTCCAACGCACCCTGCCCTGTTTGCCTGCGTGGATGGGATGGGCCGGCTTGACCTGTGGAATCTCAACAATGACACTGAGGTGAGGCAATCAAGTTAGCAGTCAGATATAGGTGGAAAATTGTTTGTGCACTTGGAAAAGTAACAAGAGTTCAAAATATTTTTGTTGTCCTTAAATATTCTTAAGCTCCAGTAGTTTCTGCCTAATGAATATTTTAATTTGATTGCAGTGTAATAATTCAAATGACTGGTCGTTACAAGTGGCAGCAGTAATTAAATTGTTGTAACCATAACAAGAATGTAAAATATCTGATTCAATACCAGCCCATGTTGTGAAAGTGACTTTTAGGCCTTCCCCAGTGTGGCCTTGGCAGCCTACACCTTAACAGTCTGAAGAAACCTGCCTCCAGGACACCACTGTTGTTCTTAGTGCCATGTTGCTGTTGCCATAGTAATAACTTCAGTGAAATTGTAAGTTGCTTCTAAACTTAGAGGATGGAGTGTCTGGGTTTTCTGGTGTAAACTATGTACTTACATGTAGTATAAATCCTTTCCAAGACTAAACTTGTTAGAGATAGACAAGGGATAATTCTGACATAGAATTTCTGAAATTAGAAATTTCACCTTCACAAAAGTACATACAGAAGAAAGGGCTTCTCTAAAAGCATAGGGCAGTGCATGGTTTTTAAGGCAGTTACTCAGTTCTAGCCTCTGGTCTGGATTTGGACTGCCAAGACAGCTGCTTTCATCCCTGCCCTGTGTCCATAGTATTCCCTGAAGTCCCAGGGCTCTTCCTTGCTCTCTCACAGAGCTACAAGGTGAATGGCTCCTGTGTCATGGCAGGAGTGCAGGTGTGCGTTTTGATAAAGTCAGAGGGCAGGAATTGTGTTGTTTTGGTCACGTCATTAGTGATAGCATATGGCCACTGAGAGTCATCTGAGACCCACAGACTGAGTAAATTGACAGGTCCAGCATTTTGCTTAATACAGTGCTGATGGATGAAGTATTTTCTAGTCTTTGATTAAGGAAATCCTTGTGCATTTTCATAGTATGTTTCAAATGAATACAGGTGCCAACTGCAAGCATTACTGTAGAGGGCAATCCTGCTCTGAACCGTGTGAGATGGACGCATACTGGGAGAGAGATTGCTGTCGGTGACTCAGAGGGCCAAATAGTTATATATGATGTGGGAGAGGTATGTATACCACGAGTTGTGCAAAGTGCATTACAGAACAATCAACTTTATTTGACTTGCATTTTGCAACTTGCTTTTAACTTTCCCTCTCTGTGATTAGAGGGTGGGGGGAAAGTAACATTTCCTTTATGTGCCTATTTCATATATTCTATTATAACTTTTCAGCATACCTTCTGGCAGCTACACCAGTCAGAAACTAAATACCTGATTTTCAGGCTGGTAGAATAAGATGAAACCATTAACAGGTTTGTTTGTAGGGATTTCATGTATGAAATGAAGCAGTCTTGACTTCATCCTGTAAGGAAGTGGTTGCTATTGTAAGCATGCGTATTGCAGTAGCACATGATGTGCTGACTGGCTGCAGACGTGGCATTAATCTTCTTCCTTAGAGACAGTCTCATGCAAGCTTGTCACGATATCACTGCATACTTAAATACATCACTCTCAAATTCTGCTGCTTTCATTGGTTAGAGCTGTTGATGTTTTGACTACTTTAGAAGTTGCACTAAGAAAGGCAAGCTGTTCTGTTGGAAGCTCTTGTTATTTATGAGTTCTGCTGTTCAAAACGAGCTCCGTTGTAGACATTGGTGAGCTTAAATAATGTTATCTTTGTCCACAGCAAATTGCAGTTCCTCGCAGCGATGAGTGGACTCGGTTTGGCCGAACACTGGCAGAAATAAATGCCAACAGAGCTGATGCAGAAGAGGAAGCTGCAACCCGCATCCCAGCATAGATCTCTGCAAATGGGCAGCAGTGGTAGGCTTGTGAATGATTTGATGCGAATCTTAGAAGTATGAGCTATGTGGATTCAACCATGGACTTGGAAAACGTGTTATGATCTCTGAAAATCAGATCTTGCATTGTTGACTTTTATGTAAAACTTACAAGCACGTTATTTGACTTATGTAACTTTTAATACAGTTAACTTTGCAAGGAACTTCTTTTGCTGAAACACTAACGTGGTGTAAATTTGCTGTTAAGCTTCTAAAATCTCCACTTTATAAACAGTATGTTTCTGAAAAGTAGAAATTGTGTTTCTAAACGAGTTCTGTTTCTAAACTAAACTTCCTATATTACACATTAGCCTTCATGAGGTAGTAAGTTGCTGAAGGGTTCTTTAATTCAAACTGCAAGTGGATATGCATGTGTATGTTCCAAGTAAGTTTCATTGCTTATATAGAGATAAGCTTCAGGCTCTGGTAGTGAGTAATATGAGTGAATAAAATGTCTGTAGTTACAGTTTATTTCATAATTGGACCAGAATTGATGAAATACATATTTAATAACAATAAGAAGTTCTTTTGTTTTGAATTGGTGCATTAAAGGGTGAGACTGATTCATAAATAAATATTATATGAGCTGCCCTGACCCCCAGTCTGTCTCCGTTCAGTAGTTTCAGAGTAGAGTGTTTCTGCTGCCTGCCTTCACTTATACTGCACATGTGAGTATTGCACTCCCAGCCTTTACTTCCCATCGTGGTAGTTGGCTAAAACAAGGAAGGCCACTCTTGTTAGTTTTTTCCTTTCTGAAGCATGATGAGCTATATTTTGAATTGATTTCCACAGCCACAATCTTGCTACTGATTTTTTTTCCATGTGAAGATAAAGAAAAATTTTCTTGCTGCTTTTTAGCATCTCTTTTGAATCAAAAACCTCTCAACAGCTTGGAAATGGAATGTTACGATTTCTGTTAAAGGCTGTATTTCTTAATAAACCTCTCCTAGGATATTATAAGCTTTCCCATCAACCATCTTCTCCCCCTTTTATTTTTGTTAGCTTCAGGTTCACAAATGTTTGGGGATTTTTTTAATAATTTAAAGCAAGTATTCTGACTTGTACCAGCTAAGCACTAAACAAGTACTGATGCCTGTGACAGCTTAGGACTCTAAACTTGAGTTGTTCTAACTTGGATTTAGTTTCTCTCATTCTTAATCTGCTACAAACTATGATTTTTCAGAAGTTTGGGGTTTTTTTAGCTCACAAGTGGGATACAGGTTTATTTTCCAGCTTACTCAAACTTATTCTTGTTTCCACAGTTTTTCTTAGGTTTTGGAGTGTATCTTTGTTTCAGTTCCAGTACAAGTAGTTCATAGAGATACTGACAGCTGTAGCAGTAGTTCTGTCTTAAAGAGGTTCCCTTCTTCTGTGGGTCTGAAAGGGAAATGGCTGTAGGCTTCCCCCAGTGTTGGCTTGTCAGAAGTCTACCCTCTATTTCCAGTACAGTCATGCTCTTCAGTTTGAAATTTGCCTTTTTTTTTTTTTTCTTCAGTATTACAACAGCAGCTGTTTGGTTGAGAAATATATGAAGAACATCATGTGGTGATTTTTACCCCTTAGGCACAATAATACTTACAAACAGAAGGTCCTCCTCCTTCCCTCAATACCATCACTTCTCCTTTAATAATGTTTCCTTCAGACTTGAAACATACATATAGATCATACGGATTTAGTTTTAAATGATTTTAACATTTTTGTAACTTAGCAGTATTGTTCTGTATTCCTGCTTGTGTTCCTCATTCAGAAAATGGTTACGTGCAGATCAAAGCAAGTTTTAAAACCCTCTTTGCAAAGTTAAGAGACCAGCAGTGGTGCCAGTTACTGTAAATGATCGTCCTGGGAGCAGCACTGTCCGGTTTTGGAGCTATGGCAGTTCTCAAATTAGAAAGCCTTCCAGGGCTGATCCAGTCAGTCAACAAGCTGTGACTGAGATTAAATGCCAGTGGGTGCTTCACACCCTGTATCTCTTCAGAAGAAAAAAGAACAAAATATACAGGTAAAGGAAAGAGTGTTCCCAGGAGGCCTGTATCTACAGAACTGCAAGAGTAGGTAATTTTTTAAACAGTAAAAAAAAAAAACCTAAAAACCACTTAATAGAGTTATACACATGTTACAGCAAAGAGATCAAACATCTGATTCAGGGTATTGTAATGTCTAGCTCACTAAATGTTATTCATCATTGAAAAGATGCTTTATCTTGGTTACAAGCTAGAACTGAGGTTCAGTTTTTAATAAGCTGCTTCTTCACAAGCCAACTAAAACTCTTCATAGAGGCTATTGGCTGAGCAATAGTTGGTACCAGTGGGGCTCACTGTTTCCCTGGATGTTTAACCCTGAAAGAAACTATAAAACTGTAAAACTAAAGACTGGAGATGGTGATACTTAAACAAGAAAAGCTGGAACCTACCTTCTTCCTGCCTCTGTGGGTGGTTTAACTTCTTTTCCCTTAGGACTGTTTTCTCTGTATCCTAAGTTTAAAAGTAAACCAGAAGAGTTCAAACTTCTCCTTTCCTTTTACTTTGTGTTCTGCCCAACTGGAATTTATTCTCAGTCTAGCAAATCAGTTCTGTTTATGAGAAGAGCTTTCTTGGTTGTTTTTTTTTTCCTTTACATAACAAAATACAAATAACATATTGTCACTTAATCTGTCAGTGTAAAAACTACCTAGAAATATAGTGAATGCCTTCAGTTTCTGTTACAGAAAGTTCTCCATTCTGGAATTCTTTGTCCTCCTGCTGTGAATCTTTGTGCATTTGGACACTCGGGTAGATGGACTCCAGTCATATTTTGCTACAGTTATAGAGGCTTCCTGAGTGAAAGATGAAGGAATTTTGTTAATAGGGACAGTTATGCATTTATTTATTTCACACACAGTAGTAGAAAGTAGTGTAGAGGCTACATACTGCACCGTACGTTCATTAAAGGGCTGCATCTAATCCTTAACCTTTAGTCTGAAATCTGCATAGAAGAAAAATCATATTGGACAACTTCTCTATAGCCACGAAGGAATGAACTGACTTAAGTGGTTTTAAATACTTTATTGTCACGTGAGTCTTAACAAAAAGCCTTCCAAACATTCTGTACATTTCAAACTGCAATATCCATTATATAAATGTGTAGAGATGCCATGATGTCTCTGTACAAAGATGTACAATATGTACAGTAACATTAAATGCAAGCTGTGCAAGGCAAAGCTTAGGCTTACACATTCGTGCCACTTGTTAAAAACAAGGCATAGACCCAAAGCTTTAGTCAGTTTATGTGCAACTAGTTCAGAAACAGGTAAATGTGTGTATATCAATATTAGAAAGGAGTAATTTGATTTGCATTCTCAGTTCAGCAAGAAAAACATGCAGCTGACTGGAAAAAAACAGTACATTCTTGTGAATTTCTAGCACTGCATCACTTCCAGAGGCTGAAATGTCTCTTTGGGATTCAGCTGCTACTTTTTGTTTGAGCTAAGACAGTGGCAGAAGATCGAAACTTGGGAAGATACAAACCAAATTTATTTTCTATACCGGCAAATGTAGCTGTAGCAAGTCTGTATCCACCGATGTGTTCAGGGTTAGCAGGAGGAAGATCCGAAATTCGAGTTTTCGGTGTAGGCTCTGATCCAGAAGGTTTGCTGTTCGAAGGAAGAAAATGAAAAAGCTTTTCCACTATTTAAAAAAGGTGGGGGTGGTTCACAGCGCTGCTTAATGGGCAAGTGAGAACAACTTTTAACTTCCTATGGTGCAGGTAAGAAGGACAAAATATCTTGCTACACTAGAAAGACAAATTTTATGGAATGTATTAAAATACATATATTTTTTAATCTCTTCACTTGTTTAGAAGTAGCATTAATTAAGCTCCACTCTGTTAATTACGAAAGGCTGAGGGACTTATTTGGCTCATACTACAACTGCTGCACAAAACCACCAACTTTAAGTGGTACCATGCTTGAAAAAGCAAGATTTTTTAACTTTGCAGATACTTATTGCAAGTTAAAAAGCAAATGTTTGACTTACAGGCCTCCAAAATCGACATAAAACCACCTCTGCAGAAGTTCGTAAGTGACCAAAGTAACGCCGAACTGGGGCGAAGATCTGAACACACGAGCTGTTGAGTATTGCAAGTTACAGTGTTAAACAAAAGGGGTTTTCTCAGGCGAGAAGCTGAGCATTTTGTAACAGAATGTTAAAGTTACATTGTTTGGAATCAGGCCTTCTAAATACTGCTCTAGAACAGCAGCAAGTACTAATTCGGACAAGTGGGGTCAGTCATGATATTCAACATGCATTTCTCACCTGCGGCTCCCTTCCAAAAAGCCGAAGGGCCTTCTTCCCTTAGAATCTTTCCAAAACAGTCAATAACTCCACTGTATGTTGTCTGACCGGCGCGAGCCGCCACTTGCAGTCTTGTCTTGATGACATCAGCAGGGGTTACCAAAGAAGCAGCAGGTACACCTTTTAGAAGAAAACCACATTTAATTTGCACAAAGATTCTTGTAAAAGATGAAACTCTTCTAACTGAAATATACAATGGCAAACTTGAATTTTTTTTTTGCAAGAATTGGACGTTACTAAAAATGCAAGTTCTTATACTTGAAGCTAATATAACTGTTGGTATTATCCTTCCATTTCTTCCAAGCTTAAAGGCTATAGCCAAGAGTAAAGAAAATAACAGTGAAATATTAACAGCAATTCTCTCAACATCCCATCAAGTAGATGAAGCATTTTTAAGCTCACACATATGTTATATATGAAATCAGAAAGGTCTGTCTATGACAAAACTCAGCTGTGCCACCTTACTTTACTTGCATAGTCCACAAAATACTTTGCAAAGTATACAGACAATTCACCTGAGAACTTGAATCCGATCCATCCACATGTTTAAGGTGTTAGTAAGGAAACTACTACTCGAAATACCGATTCTAAAGAATTATTTCTTTACTGCTGTTTGGGCTGTTTTGTAGAACAGATGCTGCTTGCTTCAATTAGGCAAGCCATGAAAAGACAGGACAAGGAAGGTGCTTTACAAGCCTACTTTGTACCAGCAGCATGATGTTAGCCAACTTCAATGGAAGAGCATATCTGCACTTCCAAGGCACCACTCTCAGCTTTCTATTCAAAGGAAAGGAGACAGTTTTCAGAAACGTACTCCACAGTAAAAACCTGTGTTATTTAAGGCATTTCTGAATACTTCTGAATACTGTAAAAATTCCATCCTCATGAAGAGGAACTGTTTTCTGACTCCTTTGGAATTTTGAATTTAATTTTGATTTTGTTGAACTTTTACTTCTGGTTAATATTGAAATAAAGGTATAATAAGTCACTGATTTTATTAGGGGATCGTACACTCACAAGTGTCACTGATAATTCAGAGTATGTTAAAATGAATGGGAACAATGTAGGTTAAGCCAACCATACGTAGATTTTCCCTTGCAAGCATGTATGTTCAGTGTGTGCTCTTCCCTGCTGCGCATGTGTAACAGGAACAGATGAAGCAATCAGGAGTTTGAAATGTGCATTTGGAAAGGCGGATTTCCTGTACAAGCTATAGAAACCAGGCCTATGAGATTTAAACAAATTTTTAATAGAGTTCATTACTTAGTGTCTGACTGACCCAGAAATACCAACTGAGCAAAGAGAAGCTGTGAAGTTCACAATCTAAAACTAAAAATGAGAAAGAAGTTGATAATATATGTATGTACTTCTGTGCGTGTAGCAAGACAGACACTTCTGCATTATGTGAGAGCAATCTGGGCTATAGCTCTGTTACTGGTTTCCCAGCTGGTCTCTCTCTTCCCTCTGACACTAGAAAAGACCCAACCGGCAAAAAGCAGGTGAAGCCAAGCTCTGCACCAAGTCACTATGGGACTCACACACAGGCTGCTCATGACTGACGAACATACACACAACTAATCCTCACAGCTGCAACCAGTAACAAAGGCCCATCCCACCCAAGGAAGTTTCTAAACTACACAGAAGACAACACTGACTGGTTCACAACTGAGAGGCTGCAGCCATCTGGAAGTGTTCAAGAACTGGAGATGTGGCACTAAGGAACGTGGTTAAAGGCATGGCAGGGATGGGTTGCAGTTAGAGGTCTTTTCCAACCCTAATGATTCCTACAGTTCTATGGTTTCCACACTGGTGATCTTAACAGGATCTGCCCTTCTGCATCCTCTTAAATAACCATCACTACAATTCCTATATCCAGTGTTTTACAATGCGTGCCAATCAGCAAAAGCAACTTACCCATCACCGTCACTTAATTCTGTTTTTATTGAACATTTTTTAGAAGCCTTTAAAATATTTTACATTTCACAATGTGATTCTTCAGCCTCAGCTTCTTTACAAACGAATGCCCTGTTTTTGGCAATTGCCTTTGAACTAAGTTTCCTCTCAGCTATTCAGGAATCCAAACCCAAGTAAGCCATTTTCTTCTTAGCTCTTACGGTATCTCATTTTATGTTCATCAAAGATTCAAATTAGCCTTCAACTCAGAGAGCACAGTAACAAGTAAAACCCCATTGAGACAGACAGATCAAATTTGACTACAAGTTGCTGAGCTGCATTACACTGTTTATCCACATTATGCAAATGTAATTAGCTCTCATCAAAATTACATCGCCTCCCACTAAGGATAACAGTGATCAAATTTAGATTAAATCAGACACAATAGTACCATACCCTTCCTTTATATGGGGCTACCGAATGAATATTAAATATTACTTACTGAAAGAAAAAAATTACCTGCAATGGCTCCAGCTGCAAGGAGATTAAGCCCTCCCACATGGCCATTTTCATCAGCGAGCATCAGTTTGCTATGAGCATAAACAGGAAAGTAGATTGCAGAAAAGGGAATGTCTCTGAGGAAACAAGCTTTGGCACCCTGTCATGCAGAAAACAGATGTAATAAAAATAAATTTTGTAAATAAGGTTAAAATTGATATTCAGAGCCCAGGAAGCATCAGCTCTCTTGATCTACCAGGTAAACAACACAGAAAATAAACTAATTCAGGGAACAGAAGATGTGGAATTGAACTCAAAAACTAAAGCAGGCTTCTAGAGTAAGGATGATTCAAGGTTCACATATAAGTTTATTAAGCACTATGCAACAATAATTCTGACATCAGTACCTAGGATAACTACCTTTTATATTTGATGTGTCCAAACACAACAGAGAAAGCAACAAGGTCCGTCCTGATGTCTTTCTCACAATGACCCACAACCACAGAAGCAGTGAGATAAGTCCTTGCATGCCATTCTTTCCATCAAACTCAAAATCATCACTAAAATACCATTTAGGTTTGTAACACCTCATACTGCTCTGCACAGATGATCACATAGTTGAGTAAGTAAGCTGCACCAAAAAGGGAAACCACTGCAAAATGGGAGGCTTTCAGTGAGGAGAACACACTGTAAGAAGCAGCTCCTGGCAAAAACATGGCACAAAACAATGCCTTAAAAGAAGTCTGTACGCTGTAAAAACAGTGGGACACTCCTAACAAAATATTATTTATTTAATTTATTATTTTTTTTTATTATTATTTAATTTATTTATTTTTATTTATTAAATTATTTATTAAATTATTTATTAAATTTTATTTATTAAATTTATTATTTAATATTATTCTTTTGGTAACTCCAGTCATCAGTCTTTTACTAACTGAAAAATAACTCCTTCAGTGCAAAGCTCAAACAACCAACAAAATGTCAAAAATCTCATCCACATACCCTGAAAGCATGCATGTTACAAAAATAACCTCCTTTCCAAATGAGAACTCTGGTACCCTATACTCCAGGCAGCAGCCTCCACACAACGGGCCCAGCTGAGACCTGTCCCCCTCCGCAGTGAGATGTAGTGGAACAGCAGGAACAGCACCTGTTACAAACCCTGTGTGGCTGAAGCAGGACTCCAGTACAGAGAATCTCGTGCCCTCAGTCATTTCCATGCAGATAGTTTATGCTCTAAATGTGTTTGTGCAATTACTCACAAAAGATAATGCAATCCTAATTTCTGAAGAATTTTTAGTAAGCTCAGTTGTTGAATTACTACAAAGAGAAATGATAACTTTGTCCCATGTATCAAAACATCTGTGATCTTTGGGAAATGTAATGGTTGTTAATCTGATGTATTGAATTCAAAGCAAAAGCTTCAGCTCCAGAAATAAATTTGCACATTTCTATACTATTATTACAGGCCTATGACAAATCACGTAAGCAATGTTTTGTAAGTGCACAGATAATACAAGTGCTGAATTTGTGTATTACCCCTTGTGCTGGCAGAAGATTCAGCAAGAAATACTATTCCTTGTTTAAGAAAACTAATAGCTTCTGCTCCATTACATCTGATCTGTAATAATGGTAGTAAGTGTACCTGCAGGGAAGGAATCTGTTGACTGGCACTCTGCTGAAGTACAGTATAGTATGGGCTTTTTTTAAAGTGGAATTTGTTATTGACAAATCCCACCATTTAACTTCTTAAAAATCTGAATCCTGCTAAACTGCACCACTGTTTCGCTGCCATCAAATTATTAAGACAAAGAGAATATCCTGCTGTAAAGATAACAATAGAGATAACGGAGATTCAAAATAAATGTAAGAAAAACACACAGGAAAGGTAAAGAAACTTCTCACAAAACCCCACCAAATGAAATTATCAGTACTGGAAGCCAGCAGGTCTGCAATACAGGACTCCCTGTAGCTCGGTATAAAAGCCCAGAGGACAGAAAGGGGGAGTACTTTTATGTATCCCACTGCCATTAATATAGAAGTGGGTTTTCTTCAGTTTTCCATGGTGGGGCTGCCCTGCAGGAAGAAATTGGTTCTAAATTCAAAAGGTTTCTTTTGTTTTTAACACAGTCTTTGTTTCAACACTGTAAAAGTTTAACATAAAATGGGTTAGCAGAGCTATAAAGAAACCACTTAGAGCAGAAACACATACCTTATAGAGACCAAGAAGGCCTAAATCTTTCATGACAGAGAGGGCACTGACTCTGGGTCCTGTAGTAATTTCTCCCGCTACCTGCAGCCGAATCTTTACAATTTCCAGTGGATTAGTGAAGATGACCTGGGAAGCTCCTGCCTGCAAACCCAAAGAAAAAGAAAGCAAATTGCATTATTGGAGCATGTGGTGACATGCTGACTTTGCAAGGTGCAGAGTACCTTCACCTCTCAATGCACTGGCTCATATTCTCAAATAAAAACCCACGAGTGAGAGCTAATAAAGCACTTGTCTGGAGGTTAAAAGCCCACATCAGAAATCATGGTTATGTACAGAATTCTGATTCACACAGATTCTTACATTCATATGTTTATATTCCACTGAAGTGGATTGATTTGGTTTCCCTCTGCAATTCTCTTTCACATCACTTCCTAAAAGTCATGAGACTGCACAAAAATCTATCAGCTACTGCACTAAACACTACCCTACAACAATGATTAGACTTGCACTGATAGGGCATCAAACACTTACAAAGAAGACCTTATGTTTATTTAATAATAATCCATCACCAATGCGTAGACATGCTATTAGCATTTAGTGGTGTTGCTGTTCATAAAGTAAATTTGCATTTAATGGTGTAATTTTAAATAATTAGAAAAGGTGTTTGGAGTTTTGTTTAGTAGGCCATAATTCTCCTAATTGGAAACAAAATATAAAATTTAAATAGGAGGAGTAACATTTGAAATTATGATACCAGATACAAACAGGAGCCCTATCTTTCTCGGAGCGGAGCATGGCATTCCGCATGCAGTCCTGTTAGAAGGACTGAAGAACTGCCTTGGCTTCCTTCTTCCTAGCAATGGAGTTGCAGAGCACCTTTAAATTCTGCACTTCAACCAACGACTTCCAAAGAAGTACGTTTCAGTTTCCATCTGGCAGTTTCGGGAGCACCTATTTAACATGACGTGAACAGATTTCTCTTTGGTACACTGTGGGTAAATATTACACTTGAAATCTGGAGAAGTGGTTCAGCACAAAACAGATGAATTTTACTAAACTTTCTTCTTCCCCTTCTTTCTGGACCCTCTTTGTCCATTTAAGAACTGTTCTCTAAAATGCAGCCACCTGAATACAACCAACTTCAAAAAGCATTTCTTCCCCATTTGAAAGCCCCTCGTGGTCTTGATCTACTCAGTCAACCCATCACACTTGACTGAAGAAAAAGATGCACAATATCTGTAATTAATGCTTCTTTTTTCCACTTCTAGGTTGCCCATGAAGGAAACTGGCTTTGTAAAACTGAGGGCATGTGCAGAAAAAAAATAAAAATTAAGAAAAAAATCATTGGTCAGTTCACTATCCCGCCTCCTGGTGTTCCCTAATTGATTCAGAACTAATTAACACTAATCCTTTCTGTTATGTCTCTGCTATAGCACATCTTCTGCACTGCAGCAACAGGCAGAACTGAGGTTTGCCTGGGAGCACATCTTAGAAGCTGGAAACTTATTTTAGATTTGAGAAAAGGACCTCGATATCTCTTACAGAGAACGAGGAACACTCTGAGCACTCTGGTACTGGCTGTGCGATGGAGGTCTCAAAATCTGCACTCATCAAGTGTAAGATACCTCAGTCAGTACGGACATTCGAAATCCTTGACCCAAAGAGTGGCAGATCAACCTCTGCTTTTGATGAACTATCTTTACTGCAACTGTCTGGAAGACCGTTGGGAATTCCCAGACTGGACAAACTGACCCCATCTTCTCTGTTTCCTGGACTTAATGCATAATCTTTTCTCAGTTCCCTGACACCACTCACATCCGAAACTGTTCTTCAAACCTTATTTACTTCCCATGTTACCTTTTCATTTCCAGTTAGTACAGATCTATGTGTGTAAGAAGAAATGGCCGTCCCACTTGGAAAAATTTCAATACAAATAAACACATAATTCTCATCTGGCAAGTTCTGTTAAACAATAACCAATGTTTTTTTTCCACATTACATTAAACAGAAAAACAATTTCCACTGTTTATAGTTTCCTTACATTCTTTTTTATACTTTGGATAAAACATAAATCAGAATACTCTTACTACATAATACAGTACATCATAAAAGTTTATTTGCTACCTGCCTATTTAATATGCATTCTTTATTTAAATACATGAAATTCAATTATTTTTTATTTTTAATCTGTTGCAAATTAGCCAAAATAACTCTTCCTATTTGCCTAACACCCACCAAAGAAACACAAATAGGCCAATTGGTAAACATCTCTATTTCTGCCCAGAATTCAAGCTTCCTGCAATTTAGCCTCCTCCTCCCTTAGGTGCACAACTGCCTCCCTCTTCTGCTCTCAGCCCATTCTCATGCACGAATGAACAGATAAGACTCTAAACAGAACTTTTTTCATATTTTAGTAGTAGTACTGAAGTGTTACCAATTTTATGCTGTCAATAGAGAATTACATATAACAATATTAAATGACTTGATAAGCAGATGACTGAGTAAAAGAAAAAATAAATAAGAAAAACCCTCCTAACTTATCAGTAGAAAACCTCTTAGAAAGCTCTTCAGTTGTTTTGAACATTGTGTATTCGGCGCTGACAAACTTCTCACATCCAGCTTTCTTCAAGAGCAGTAACCATCCAGACACACATTGAAACGCTGCCTGTCAGCAATACAGGCTCCTGCCCAAGCCTCACCCTTTCATACGGTTATGTCTGGAGCAAACTTTTCTGCACAGGAACAACTCAATTCACATAAAGGTCTACACCAAATTCAGCTTTGGGAACGAATGAGATCCCTATCACATCATACGTACAGATAACATACAGCACAAGAAAAACCACTTTTACTGTGTGCTTTTTAAGAAGTGAATGGGAGGGCTGTTGATTTTGTTTTGTTTTTAAGAAAATGTTTCTGTGTCTGATGAAGAATGAGGTGGAGGAAAGGCATTGCCTGGGTTCCCCAGCAGCACAGGAAGTGCCTCAGAAGGGGATGCAGAAGAGAAAGACACAAAGGCTCTCAAACCAAAAACAAACTGGCGGTGTGCAGAGTTGCAATACAAATCTCCCTGCTTATGTGCAAATCATTGGCAGTCACCATCATTCATTCTCAAAGTACCTTATTTCAGCTGTCAGCTATGTTTTTTAAATACACGTGCAGACATATACACACACTACGGTCCTTGAATTTCTTTCACAGAAGGTGAACTAAATCTAGATTTCTTCCTCAAGAAAATCTTCTTTCACTTTTAAATTACAACAGACACTTAAAAAAAGGTTGACAAATTTGTTTCTGAATGGAGGTTATTCATACACATCAAAAATACCAGTAATAAAAGCTTCTACTTAACCTTAATGTCATGTAAAATAACTCTGCAAGGAGCAAATAAAGGAACTAAATCTGACAGCAAAGGTTATGAGAGAAAAGATGTAGTTTGAGATCCCACAGCAAACGCCTCATGACATGCCAAAGGCTGAAGGAAATACACAAATGACCCTGCAACATGAGACCTCTTGCCCTTTCCAATTCCACCCAGAGGCATATGCTACAAAGGGGGAGAGGCCTATTTTGAGCCCTTCCTTCCTTCCTTTCTGAAACCGCCACATCCTGGACCACAACCATACTCTATAGAAGCAATTAAAGTAAGACACTGCTTAAAACAGACTACTTCAAACACATCCAAAGAACTTGCACTTCTTTCTCAAGGACAAACTTCCATAGCTCATGCACCCACAGTAAACTCACCGTCTCTTTTACTAAACAGTACATTTCTCTGTAAGTTTAAATGTCTGCAACAGAAGGCAAAGCAGCAACATTTAATTCTTCTCCTAACTTTACCTGCCTAAAGCATATGAAAAGATGTACAGTATCTATCTTCAAGACTTTGAAGAGCAGCATCCTGACAAGTAAATTCTGGGACCTCTTTCTATATGTATAGGCAAACACACACACATCTCCCACTCCTAATCACCAACAGATGCACTGCCTACACCTTCAAGAAGAGTTCTTAGTCCTTTTCCTTCTGGCACCTCACCTCACATCCTGCAGCACAAATCGGAAACGTCTTTCACATTAAATGGAATTCATCCACTTGAAACGTTAAGCCCCACGTACACTCCCATTGATGGAAAAATCTATTTTTTCCAATGTAAATCATAGGAACTGCAGCTCAAAATTACAGCATTTTCATCTACTGTGGCAGTACTTACGAATCACTTTTACAACATCAGATGTCAACTTATATGGCTCAACTGAGGATGAACAGTTGCCCTACAGCATCTAGCCTAACATGGATCACGCAGGTGAGTTTCTTTGAGTAGCACTATCCATACTAGGTACGAGTTTTCTGTTTCCCCAGCTCGTCAGGATACAGGAAAGCATCACCAAAGCCCAACTCAGTCTCCCTGCTACCTAACAGTAGTTGAAAACTCCAGAGGCAGAAATGCTAATCACTAAATTACACTGAAGTTCAATTAATTACAGTAACAGTAGGGAAAGAAGTTGTTTTATCTGTACACGTGGAAGTGTGGATAGTGCTGCTACTGATTAAGAAACCAGCAAACTCTCAGGAAGGTAGGAAGATGGGATATCAGTTTCATCCATCAGTGACCAAAACCCTTTCCTTGACAGGTATGACCTGACTGGTGTAACTGAGCTGCCCCACGCAGTTGTTTTGCAGACTTCCAATACAGACACAACTTGAGAGCAGCTGGGAATATTTGGGCTTTGACAGAGCAGATCCTGCACTCCCCAATGGCATTTACATTGCCCAGAGGCTAGCAGGTACATTTCAAGAAACACGGGGCACTGGCTGACTGCGGGGGGTCCCTGCCCTGCAGTAAGGAAGGAAGACTGGCAGGCAGCTGACCGTAATAAATAGGCCAGTGCTTGGGTGGATGTCTCTGGTAACAGCTATGAGATTTATGATTTTCCCTTTTACTGAGGATAGGAGTTTATTCCAAAATCTTACAGCAGTTGAGAAAAAAATAATATCTTCCTAATGCAGATGCTGATTGTGTTGGTTGCCCCTTTGCAGGATGATACAGTACTTCTTGCAGAGCTGAGGATGCTGAGCGCCATACACAGGTTGCCTGGAAGCACTGCCATCCTAACATCAAAGGTTTTAGCTGTCCTCATTTGTGGGTCTTACAGGACTGTAATACCACAAGTAGGCTTTGATACAGCAGTGCCATCCAGAGAGGAGAATTTGCTAGGTCTGCTGCACTACTTTCATTGCTGTTTCTGCCTCCTCACCACAATTTTGTTGATTCCTGACTGTGGACAGTGTTGCACACAATGTGCTTCTGCACTGCTTGCAAGCAGGTAGGTGTGGAAGGTTTCTGCTCACACAAAACACCTAAAAAACAGCTTGCTCATCCATTACACATAGAAATGGTGAAAAGGAACATTACTGCTGTTAATCAGGAGAAGAGTCAATGCTAAACACAGACAAGTGAGGGTCAAAGGTAGTAAGAACATCTCTGAGAGCTACACATAGGTATAATAACCTATTTTTTCTGAGGTTATAAGGAGGTGAAAAGCACTTTTTGAATGCATTCTTTTTATAATATACTATCAGCATAACAACATATCCCATCTTTCTATCTACTTGAGAGTTTGCTGATTTATTAACATTTGTCAAGACATTTTTAAGAAGCCACAAGCTACCTAAATCCAGATGGTAGAAACAATTTTGGATAGATGAAAGCCAAACAATGTCATGGTAACTCATAATTTTGGGCTAACATAGAGAGAAGGAATAGAATTGTGGAAAGATGAGGAAGAAAAGTAGTATCTCCAGAAGAGAAAGTTTGTCCGCCCCAGCACATAGAAAGGGATTAAGGTTGCTAGTGGCAGTTCCTGCATGTAACTGTTGATTATCTCATAATATTTTGTAAAAAAGCAGAACACAATGAACACAGTAAATGAGAAGATCAACACTATTTCCAAGCAAGTCAATATGAAAAAAAAGCTGTCAAACTGAGGATGAAAAAGCTGAGGAGAAAGAGGACAGAAACAATTATGTTGCTACTGTTTCAGTTAATTAATCCTTTCAGACATTTAGAATAAGCTTTATGTGCTTCATATTAATGATTCCAGTATTTAGGAAGAAGTGAAATAGCTAAAATGACATTTAAAAAAAAATCAGTGCAAATAGGAAAGTCATCAGCTGGTAAGATTATTGGATAATCCAAACAAGGCTGCAAAGAAATTAAAACAACCATGAGGTTGCTAAACTGTGCCCAGCATCTGCCCTACAGAAGCCAACTTTATCTAAAATACTCCCAGCTAGAACAAAAAAAGTATTCCCATCTACTCTGAATCTAGCAGAGGGCCACAAAGATGATAAAGGGCCTGGATCATCTCCTGTATGAGAAAAGGCTGAGTAACCTGCGTGTGTTCAGCCTGGGGAAAAGACTGAGTGAGAGATCTGATCAATGTTAATAAATATCTAAAGGGAGGTGGGAGGCAAATAGATGAGGGCAGGCTCTTCTTGGTGATGCACAATAATAGGACAAGGAGCAGTGGCCTAAAATTTGAACACAGAAAGTTCCATACAAACCGCAGAAGAATTTCTTTATGGTCAGGGTGATAGAGCACTGGAACCGGCTGCCCAGGGAGGATGTGGAGCCTCCACTTGTGGAGATATTCAAGACCCGTCTGGAAGCCTACCTGTGTGGCCTACTGTAGGGCATTTGCTTTAGCAGGGGTTGGACTCAATCTCTTGAGTTCCCCTTCCAACCCCTGCAATTCTGTGATAATTTTGGAAGACAATACCAGCTACAACAATCAGCTCGTAGAAAGGGTTGTGTCTGGACAGCTTATCTGAAACTAAAATTTCTCCCTGATTTTTGTACGTTCACTACAGTAAGACAATAAAAATGTATTTTGAAAAAGGAGTACCTATCAAGAAGCAGAAAAGCCTGTAAAGTCGATGATGTTTAGTATTATAATTTCAGTATAAAATAATGTAAAAATAGTAACTGAGTATGAGATGTTTGATTTAAACAGTGGATTTAAACATAACAGAGAGAAGAATACTAATGAATTGTATTTGCTTCTGTTATAAATGATCTGTATGTGCTTTCCAGAAGAAAGGTTAGTCTTTTGCTAGCTATACATCACAGCTGCTTTCTCACATTTCTCAGAAAATAAACTTTGTACACTGACAGGTGAAGACTCAAGCATGTACCAGGCTGCCAAATTCAATCAGGCAGAACTATAAGCAGCCTCCCTTCAGGGCTGCTTCTTTGAATTAAAAGTTTGCAGAGGTCAACAACCTTTCTGCCCCAGGTTTGTTGTAAGCTGAGGAGGTTTTTTACCAGCTTGTCAGCCTACTCAACTGGAAGTTATTAGTGTTCCCTTCTACAAAAGGAAACCAACTGAAGATTTAAACATTTTGTAGGGTTAACAACTCTTGGTGAATCTCACAAATGAAATTAGCCAATGTGTTAAAAAAAAAAACAACCAAAAAACCTATCATTAATACCAATTCCAATCATTTACAGCTTGCTTGGAGATCGACTGAATTAGAGTTCTCAATCTCAATGAAAACATTATTTGTTTTTACCTTCATTTACACGACGGATGTAGTCAGCATCTACCTGGCCTTTAACCTTGCTGGGAGAACAAAGATGCTGTAAATCTGCTTTTAAGAAGTTAAAGAAAGATTCTGATAAAAAACTGATGGTGTTACAATAAGGAGGAAAAAAAATAAATAAATTTAAGTTTCAAGATGTCCACTCAATGAAACATATTTTTCAAATACTCCTTATATTCATATTCTTACCTTCCTGGTGTTTTTCTAGTATTGCAAATATATATATATATATATATATATATATATATAAAAATAAATGAAAAAGCGCCAACAATCCATGGTCAAGATGAAGTAGATGGAAATATAAGTCAACTTTGCTATTTCTCATTCTACTGCCTTCAAACTTCCAAGGAATGGAAACCCCTTATTAGTTTAAATAAAATTCAGTATCTCAGAGATAAAATGTCTGCTCTGATGATAGATGCTAAGATTATACGTACACATTACTACATAGCATAAACATGGCATTTACTACCTTCAAAAACAAGCAAAAAGTGTCAATTATTCCCCACAGTATTCCCCACAAAGCTTTCACAGGCAGTTGATGACTTGCAGACACAACGATGACCTCACTTCAATCACATATATGCTACCTTTATATGAAGTAGCCACCTTTATACGAAGTAACTTAAACTAAAAATTCACTCAAACTTGTTATCGAAAGCTAAGACTACATCATTCAGTTTTCTCACATTTTCACAAATAAACAAGAGAATCACACATGGCAGGTTAAAGAGTGTTTCTTTTCCTTTGAAAACTTCATGAACAAACAGTTGCTTTTTTCTGTCTACCCTTTTTTTTTTTTTTTTTTCCCTTCTGGAAGCAAACTCGTGATTCCCATAATCCATTCATGAGGACTAACTATCTCTCTGCAAACTAACCCTGAACATCATCCTAAGCAAAAGTACAGAATGTAGTCGCACAGAAGCTTCTTCTGTAAATACAAACACCACAAAATAAAAGCTATGTAGTAGGCCAGAAGTTGTTAAAACACATAATTCCAAGGGAACTCAGAATTATGCAGCTTGCCCAAAGAGAAAAAGTTCTTTTCCAGTTTTTGTAAATTAGAAAAAAAAAAAGTTACATTCAAGTGAGCAAAGCACACACATAACTGTCATTTCAACTGTACTGCACATTACTGAGAATGCATTATTCCTAGGAACAAACAGTACAGGATAGATACTTACACAGCCTCCAGCAAGGATCTCTGCAGGGAGTGGAATGGAACCATCTCTCTTAGTAAATTTGTCTCTGACAAAGTCATTAACCTAATGAAGATACAACACGTTACACACAATTTAAAGGTATCCTTCCTCCTTATTAACCTATATCAAGTACATCTGTAACCATATTTGTTAGAGTGCTTGTAAGTGGTCATCTTTCACACATTTTAGGAAACAAATCCTGTGTTTGTTAACAAACAAAAAGATGTCAGGAAAAAAAAAAGATACGTACAGTTAGCTTAATAGCCTTTTCTGGAGCAACACCTATCAGCTGTGGTAACAAGCCTATAGAAACAAAGACATCATAAGGCAACATTATCTTCCTAATAAAGAAACCAGTATTTTATAAGAGCTCTACAGAAATGTCTTTCTGCGCATGGCATTTCCTTTGAAGTGGGTGGCAGTTACCCCAGGAGGTCGATGGCATTTATGCATGTGTGGCTGCTACAGCACTGGATATTCATACCTATAGGATTTTACAATAAGATTTCTGTTGAAAATGGTAATGAAAAGGGTGAACGTGGCCACATTCCACAACCAAATCAAGTCTGATACAGTTGCTGTACAGAAAAAAATAAGAAAAAAAAAAGACTGAATGTACCTCACCATATGTCTACTTACATAAGAATTAATTTGACTTTATTTTTTTAGCCCCTTAATATGATTTTCCCATAAATCTTAAAATTAAAACAGGAGATTAATTATGAGAGATACACACAACTATGATAAATTATGAACTAACCTCTACCACTAACCTGAGATTTCTCAAGGCTCCAGTCAACTAATGATGTAAAGGATTTTCATTAGTTGAGTCCAACATAAACTTCTTTAAACTCTCTTACAATTAATTATTTTACTTTTTTTTTTTTTTTTTTAATCTTGCCAAGAGGAAGTATCAGTTGGCAGAAACCAATTTTGAAAGACTCTTCCTCTACTACCAAAATGAACAGTCTTTTCAAAGAAGTAGATGCACTTTTCATGGAGCTAATAGGTTTAAGAAAAAAAAAAAAAAAGACAAATCAGTAGGTGGCAGTCTCAACTTCCTAACATAGAAGATCATATCAGCATCTGTTGTCTTTCAATTCACTTTCTCCATAGTAATCCTGGTATTACATATAAAATCATAAAAGTTAAAGTGTTTATCTTTATTATAAGTGCTCATTTCCATGGTTAGGGAATATCAATTAGTTAGAAGTTCTTGCCAATTAACAAATAAAGAAATCCCATACTAAAAATATCAAACATCAAATGACATCAACAAAACTATGATGATGCAGCTTCCCACTCTACCTTAAGTGAAAATGATGGCTAAAATTCATAAAAGAATCTTCAAAATTCCCCAAAGTACTTAAGTCTGTAAATTTTTATAGTACTTCCCTAAAAGGAGCTCAGAGCAAAGGTACCAAAATAGAAAGTGCAGCACTTAATATATGCAGTGCAGTGTTTTCTTCCAACACAGTGCCTTCTGTGTGATGTACTGACTTACTGTGCAGGGGAAAGGTAGTTATTAAATACAAAAAAGGTTGACAATAACAAAAAGAAATATGCCCTCCCAGCCTGAATCTCTGATCTACCACAAAAAGAAATCCAGCTCTGCTGTGCCTGTACTTCGGGGGGGTGAGGGGAGGCAAAAGAAAAAAAACTACCAGACAAAACAGCCCAAGACAATTCCTCACACTCTCTCTCTTCCTTTATATGCAGCTAAACACCCTGGACACACACTGTATTCTAGAGAACCTGGGATTCAGTACGGTCTAGCAAGAGAGCTTAGAAAATATAATTAGTTCAGAAGTTGGATGTCAGGTTTCATAAGCATCACGATTTTCCTGACCAAATATTAGAAGTTTTTACTTTAAAATATGAATTTTCTAATATCCATTCAAATCTATGCTTTAAAATGAAGTGAAGAACTATATTGTATCATTATACATTAGAATACAATTTAAGATAGTCCCTTAGAAATATAAGATTCCAGTTACAGTCAATTCCGTAAATATTTCTGTTGTTTCTGTTTGTTCTCATCTGCAGATAATCTGACACTAGGAGTACATGCTGACTGTAGAACACAATGTTTTCAGAACAGCTACACGAATCTTTCATGCTAAACAATCTTAAAGACAACTACTAAACATATTTTTTAAAAGTTTAACAATTTGCCATTACACTCCCCCAACAAGCACCTTTCCCCCCTCAAGCATGAAGCACTGTTTTTAACTCATCTATAGAAAGCGCTTGCCAAAAGTTAGAAAACAAAAATAAAAGGTCATTAGCTTTAGAGGTGGCTGTGCAAAATCATGTTAGGGTGAGGGGTGGAGAAAGAAAAGAGTACTATAGAAAAGAACTGCAGAAATCACAAAGTTTAAAATAGAGTCATAGATGCAACTTCAAGGAGTATTTGTTTTAACGAAATATCTAGCAACAAAAAAAAAAAAGGGAAGAAATCTACTAGAAAAAAAAAAACAAACATAATTTACTGAGATTACAGCTATTTCATTAAAATTTTGACTGATTTATTCCTCTCTTTATTTGTCACTGAAAAATCCTGTGAGATCACAGAAAATTACTTAAGAGTCCATAGACTTTCACATGCAAAAACTTCGCAGATACTGCTCTTAACAAAGACTAGTAAAGACCACTGTCCTCATGGGCAGAACACACTGTAATACAAAAAAAAACAAGCCTGTGACCATCACATTAAAACATAAAATCTAGAAGAAAGTGCTGACTTTTATTAAAAAAAAAAAAAAAAAAGAGAGAGAATTCAACTAAATATAAATATCAGAAGATGTGTAGTGTACGTACCATTTAAGTAAGTTATCTTGTTGATATGATACAAATGCTTCCATAACCTTCTCCTAAGCTAAAAAACAAAGATAGATAGCTTTCTATCTAACTGATAAGTTGCTTTGAATTCTTAACCTGCATTTTGGAACAAAGTGATACATAAACTGCAGGCTGCAATTTCTTGCTCACAGTAGTCCCAGTACCTGCAGAGGTGTAAGGAATAAGCAATCTGGCATCCAGTTTAACAAGTACCTTTCAGAATGACTATTTTCTCTCCTAATAAAAAATATTCGCTGTAAAACGTATTTACTCTTCAGAGGCTAAAATGCGTTCCTCATGTTTGCCCGCAGCCAAATGTCACAAACCTCAGTTTGTGAGATAATCTTGTCCACAACACTCACACCACAGAGATTAGGACTTTAAACAGATCTGTGTACCAAGAAGCCAAACGGTAACAACAGAAGGCCTCGTTTTTCCCAGCAATTATGATGAACAGTGCTCAAGGGAAGTTAAACATTCAACTCTATGAGACAGAAGCAAAAATGTAAATTAAATCAAGTTTCACAGTTCTCCAATAAGAGTAGTTCTTGAGTTATTAAAAAAATAAAAAAGGAGAAAATCCCCAAGCCGATATATATATATATATTTTATTCACTTACCTCTGTAAAGACCAAAAAAGCCTTCAAAACGCAAAACCTTTTTAAAGCAGTCAAAGCTGTTTTTATACATCAACTCTCCTACGACTGAACCAGTGGAGCGCTGATTCTGCATACGAGTTTTCACCAGGTCTATGGGATATACTGCTGTAGCACCAACAGCTGTGAGAAAGCATTCGGAGCGTTACTTCTGCAGCTTCTCTGTTGTTGTAGTACATAAACATTATGGTGACTTTCTTTAACAGTAATGTAAACACACAAATATTTACAAGCTGGTAAGATCTCTGATATGTTGGAAATAAGAAAGAACAATACAGAAAATCTAAAAAAAAAAAGTCTGCAGGAGAATAAATTTACTATGTATTACATAGAACAAGGTGTACAGAAAAGAAAACCAATCAGAAAAAGAAGCAACAAGAACTATCAGTAAGCAAATGTGTTCCCCAAGCGAGTAGAGTTCCAGTTGTTCTTAAAAAGGTACTAGAATAGAAGAGATAAAGGAAGACACTGGCACAACCAGTGGCTGCAGCCATCAATGCTTCACCTGCATAACAAGAAAGTGCACCTTAAACGGTCCCAAAGAGTCTGGCAAGAAAGACTACAAACACAGACCTGAAACCCAGATAAATTACTTACCTCCAGCAATTGAGCCCAAAGTGAACCTGTAGGCTGACTCAGCTATCTGGAGCAAGATAGGCCTGCTTAACTCTGCAAACGATTGCTGTGTGAGGAAGAAAAGAAAAACAAACATTTCAAAACCTTGCCGGGAGAACAAAGATGCTGTAAATCTGCTTTTAAGAAGTTAAAGAAAGATTCTGATAAAAAACTGATGGTGTTACAATAAGGAGGAAAAAAAATAAATAAATTTAAGTTTCAAGATGTCCACTCAATGAAACATATTTTTCAAATACTCCTTATATTCATATTCTTACCTTCCTGGTGTTTTTCTAGTATTGCAAATATATATATATATATATATATATAAAAATAAATGAAAAAGCGCCAACAATCCATGGTCAAGATGAAGTAGATGGAAATATAAGTCAACTTTGCTATTTCTCATTCTACTGCCTTCAAACTTCCAAGGAATGGAAACCCCTTATTAGTTTAAATAAAATTCAGTATCTCAGAGATAAAATGTCTGCTCTGATGATAGATGCTAAGATTATACGTACACATTACTACATAGCATAAACATGGCATTTACTACCTTCAAAAACAAGCAAAAAGTGTCAATTATTCCCCACAGTATTCCCCACAAAGCTTTCACAGGCAGTTGATGACTTGCAGACACAACGATGACCTCACTCACTTCAATCACATATATGATAATAAATGCTAGGGTTTTAAATAAAAACCAAGTCTACACAAAGTATTTGCAGAGATTGAAAATGAACTTATTAGATGTTTATTACATATAAGGCAATAAAGATAAGCTGATACACAGGATGTAAAGATTCATAAACTTGCACAGTAAAGTACGCCAAGTTTATTTCCCAACATAACTAAAGTTATTAGAAAAGAATTTATACTATGTAGGTAATAGGTGACCAAAATACTAGAAGTTAAAATCCACAGTAAAGCAGATACCAAAGCACATCTCCCAACAGTAGCCTCCTTTGTTACATACAGACAACCTGTATCATTTGCAGATGCACTTGTGAATGCAGAGCTGGGATTTACACAGACCTCAGAACACTACGGAGCGCTTTGCTCTGATGCACGTTATTAATTCTCTACAAAGAGCATCACAAGGATGTTTCACTGCTAACACTTACACTGGGCTTACCAAAGCTCTGAATCGTGGAACATCCACAGCAGGGCACAACATACCTCAGTGTAAGCAACCCTGCTTATCCTGGCATTACACTGGATGTGCAAAACCCTGCATTTATCATGTGATGTTACACAGTATGCATACGAGGAAGAACAAAGGTCTATGAGATGGGATCCTTGTTTGTAAAAAAGAAAAAAAATAACAACAGTATTTTGTATGAATTTTCTGCAAAAAAAAAAAAAAAAAAAAAAGCAGGTATCATTTCCCTCCATAAGCCATTTTCTTCTTCAAAAATACAGCTGAACAGAAAAATTCTGGGTCACAAGAAGTATAAACTGTACGTGTGGAACAGTTCATTAAAAAAAAAAAAAAAAAGCAAAGATCAAATGATTTGCCTCTACAAGCAAAGAGAAGCAACAAATCTGAAGAGTTCAGTCACTATTCTGAAAACTTCAAGCTTTCCCGATTTTAATAACAATAAAAAGAGGAAAGTCACAAGAAAAGAAAAAAAACCCTGCAAAATACAGAAAGATCTTTTGATCCATTTAAATAAAAGACAAATGCAACAAGAACACACTGAAAGACTCTGAAACAGCACAGGTTCTTCATTCCACAGAGTTTTTGTTCTATATTATCACACTTAGTTCCTCTTAGCTTTTTTAAGGTTATTCCTTTTACTCAAAGCTCTACAGAGTTCTTATCAAAATCCAATCACTACATTCTAGCATAAATCCTAATGAATACGTCATTAGATGTTAAAAATCAAATTCTTTGTGAATCATCACTTTTTATATTATTTAATAAGCAAAGTTTGTAGTTCACTTGTGTGTTCAGATGGATATGCAAATGAATGTAATTAATGCTATAGCTTTCAAATCATTAACATTTATAAACAGAAAATTACTGTATCTGTCATCCCTAAAGGATATTCACCTGCAGGCTTTAAGAAAATCTTACACAACAAAAAAAACTGACAATAAAGTAAACATGGTTGAAAGCCAGCTACTTTCCATTTCCACTAAACCCACAAAGACAGAGTAAGTTTATGTAAAAAATTAAGTTTTCCTTTTGAAGGGATTTTAAAGCCGTATAAATGCTATAAATGCTACTAGAGAAGTGTTTTCATTTCCAGGAACAGATGGACCTCACAGGAATTATATTATCTCTACTACCAACAAACCTTTTTCATTGTATCTATCAGTAATGTTTAATTAGGCAATAATAGGTTCACTTAGCATATGGTCCAGTAAAAGACTATTCCTTACAAAAGAGAGAAAACAAAATTGCTTCCTTTTTGCTGAGCTCTCTTAATACAGAATGTAGAGTAGGGTTAAAGCATGCAGTATTACTCCAAGCACATTAAAAGAGTATGTTCTAGTGATGAGTGAAGCTTTTTTCAGTGAGCTCATTTTGTAACAGTGTTAAGCTACAAAGGTAATTCTGAGGTGTAAAGTAAAATAAGCTAAATATTTTGTTTCATAATGGTTTACTCAGAAAGCTGAGTGCTACAGAAAACATTAATTAAAACCAAAGATGACTGTTACGAATGCAATTATGAAACCAGCAAAAATACTTCTCATTAGCCTGGACAAACATTGCATACGCATTTCTGAATCAACTCATTCCACCATTCTTGCTTTAGGAGTACACAGAATGGCTGGGGTTGGAAGGGACCTTGCAGCCCAACCAGTCCCCCCCCGCTGCAGGCTGGTTGCCCCCACCCATTCAGGCTGCCCACGGCCCCATCCAACCTGGCCTTGAGCACCTCCAGGGATGGGGCACCCACAGCTCCTCTGGGCAGCTGTGCCAGGGCCTCACTGCCCTCTGAATAAATAAGTTTCTCCTTACAACTAATCTAAATCTATCCTCTTTTGCCCCTTGTCCTGTTACTGGTCTAGGAAGATTAATAACATCAAGCAGGTTTTTGAGTGCTTATTTCACCTTATCTAATTCCCTAAGGACAACAGAGTAGCAACATTACAAATGGATCAGACACGGTTTCAGACCAATTTGCTTGAAACACAACTGAATGACCAAATCCACCTGACACAAGAATAAACAGAGTGACATTCATGTGTTGAATATTTGCTATATTCCACTTAGGAGAATTTTTCAACCATAACAGTTGAACTAACTTACGATTTTCTTATCACTGATACAGATTCTAGTTATTCCAGTGGACACAATCACTTAAAGGAACTTCATTGTAACGTGTATAAGTGAAGTGGAAAAGAACAAACTTATTGTAACAATAGGGGGCAGTAGATATAGTTGCCTTTAACTAGTTTCTGATCACCCAAGAAAGGTAGTGGTCACAATCCAGTACAAAAAAGGAATAGCTTACCCATTTCCAAGGATCAGGGCTTGTTGGAAATTCCAAAAAGAGGCAGTCTCCAAGTAGAGATGCTACACTTTTGGCTGCCAACCCTTAAATGAGGTTAGTGAATCCAGGGTTGCAGAGGTTAATTGCTTAGAGAATACTACCCTAATTCTATATAGCAATACACATACAACATGACCCATTTGTTAGGAATCTGTTTAAAGTGTTGTTTTTTTTTTTTTACTTTTCATATGCATGCACACTTAAAGAGTCACTTTATTTCAGCAATTCTGCCTTTTTATACCACTTCTACCTACCTGCCTCTGGAGTTCTGCCAAGTTGTAAGGTAATGCACCCTCAGCTAGTGGTGCTACTCTCTCAATATCTGCCAAAGTTAATCGCCTTAACACAAGGCAGAGGGAAGTAAATTAGTGTTAGTTAAAATATCAAACATATTCAATACAGTATTCTCAGTAGCATCTCACAGAATACATCTTGAGTTTAAAAAAAAAGCCAAAACACTTGTCATATTTAAATGCATGTCTAAGAGTTCTGCTATTCTGCAATAAAGAATTCTTGGAGTTAGAAGAGCATTCCCTTCTTGTAGCTGTCAAGGGATCTCAGGTTATTCAGAAGGGAGTTCTTGATTACTACTAATAAAGGATGTAATTCACAACTTAAACCATTTATAGGTATCCCTCCCCAAGAGTTCACATGCTAATAACTACGAGAAACATCAGTAGAGTTAAGAATAACGGAGAGTTATAGCCTTCTGGGATTACCATAATGTAATTTTGCTTTTTATATTTAAATCTACAATACAACAATCAATAATTGTGCTTGCTATACAGGGTTCACTTAGAAAATATCTGCATACACCAGCCATTTTACAATAAATAAACTGTAATGAACAGAACACACAAATTTTAAAATTGAGTAGATTGTGCATAGAAAACAGCAATACGGTTGTAAAATGATAAAATTAATTATCATAAGTTACCCAGTAACGCTGTATAAACCTGTAAGTTGGTAAAGAATATCTATTTCCAACGGTGTAACTTGTCCAAATCGTATTGCAGACTGGGTAAATTCCTCTGGATTTAAAAGGGAAGGAGAAATAAAGCAATTGTGTTATTTGTCAAATTTCATCTTTATGGACAAATCTAACAAATAACTTAAATATCATAAAAGAATGAAAACTATCACCAAGAAGCAAAATCCATAATGCAGAAGGAAAGATAACTTTAGGAAGACTTATCTTGAAAGAGATCTTTGAAACATAGAGCAAGTATGATTCAATACATCCTTATATCAGCAACACTGATAACATCACACACAAAATTTATGATTTTTTTTCTGAAGTTTTGCAAAATGAACAGAATAATTATCCATTATCCATAGCTTTAAGGGCAACTAACTCACTTATCACCATCATTCTGTGTTTCTTTTCTCTGTTAGCTCTCAGTGACCCCACAGCTATATGTTCATCTATCCAAATAACATTGCACATTCATTACGTGATTGGCAAGCTACACTAAGCAAGTTTTAGTGATGACAGTTCAGTAGCTTTTATTCACTACACAAATCCAGGCAAGACGTGTCTATGCATTTACATCAAGGAAAAAAAAAAAAGCCAGGTAATTTGTTAGCACTATTTGGAGGACAAGGACAGTTATTTCACGCTTTTCTCTAGGGATGTAAAGTATGCTGAGCATCTGAACATAAAACAAACATAAAAGAAAAAAAAAAAGAAAAACTCTGCATGCTTTTTACCACACATAGACTTGGCTGGTCCTGTCCATGCAGGTAATAAAGTCAGGGATAAAATATGTCATAAAATGTCTACAAAATAAATCCACTGATGCCTGCAGCAAGACTGATTCATGTCTACCTTTCAGTGGTACAGGGATTAACTATGTCCTGTATGTCAACATAAACTATGTAAAACCACTCAGGCCAGCAAAAGAAGTTATGAATTTTTACCTTTTTTCTAAGAAGGATTTAGTTGCAGATAAAATGAGCTAAAGCAATATGGAGATCACTGATAATGGATTTTCAAACATAACTCTTTCTATCTTATTTCCTTGGCATCTCCTATCTCTAAGCAATAATATACCTTTTTCAAGGAGTGGTAAAATCCCCAATGAAGTACCATTTTGCAGATATCCATACAAACCACAGTCCCAATTCTTCTTCTTAGTGAGCTTCCTGAAAATCATTATTAACCCATGAGGATGAAAATGACCCTTAAAATTTTTCTACAGTAGCACTAACGTTGTATGCTATGCTGCTTCTGACTTGTCTTACCCTGTATGCAACAACAGCTTACAAATTGGACAGAACTAAAATATTAATAAAAAGTAGGAAATATACTTTACCTTTTGTGACTTCAGTATCTTTTCTTGTACCTGCTATATTACTGTATATCTTCCTAATGAGATCCATGTTATTCAAAAGGGCATTAAATGCATTGAAGTAGGAGAAGCTGACCTGATGTGAAACAGTTCCACCAGCTACCTGTAAAAATTAAATTACACAGTTAAATGCCTTGAGCCCCTTTTTACCAATGTCTTATTACAAATTACAGAAACATTCATTTGGGCAAGTAAGAAAAGAATTAAAGATATCTTTCTACCTCTGTAATTTTAAGCTAGTTTTAATAGAAATACAACAGTAGAACAAATAATGGCATATTTTTTGACATAAACTGTAATAAAGTTATCCTTTACCTCATAAACTGTACCTGCAGATCTTGCCAGTCATAACGGTAACCATTCTAACTCTACATGCTTATTTTCCAAACATCAAACTGAAAACAATATAAGAACACATAAAAGGGTAAAACTGTAAGTAGTCTACACCCATTCTGGTCTGTTCTATATCGAAATCTAAAAATCAGAAGCTTTAGCCCAAAATTGGTATTCTTCCTGTGTAAAATATAGTTTGCTCTGCTTTAGGCAAAAGCACAGTAGATAACTTAAACTGCATCCAATGGCACTTTAAGCATTTAAACCAGACTGCAAACTTTTCTACCACATAACCGAGAAGTGTTGCCATGTTTCGTCCTGCCAACTCTACTATGAAGGTAATAATTTCTAGCAGTGAGAAAGTGATAAACATATAGGAGAAGAAAAAGTGGGAGAGAAGCACTAACATTTTAAAACATCACAGCTATTAAACCCTGAACTCAAGATGTTTTTCTTCACACTTACTGAAACTAAATTTTCTTCCACAAATGGTGTCAGCATATGGGAGTGAAGGGTAACCATGACATCACTGAAGTCCAGCCCAGTAATCATGCCACTTTTATTTTTATCCTTCAATGCAAAGGCTTGTCTTGCATGTTCTGACTGCAGCTCCTAAGATTAACATTCAGAAATTGTGTATTAGCAAATTCTATAACCCACTGTTCACAACATTTTGATTTAGTTTATAATCTTACAGCACTCCTAAATACATTTGTGCATGCAGATCACAAGACAATTGCAATTTAAACTTGAAGGTTAGTCCAAATAAAATAAGAATTCTGCATATTTGTTCATTCCATGCACAGATTCATTCCTCTGGCATAGAACATCCCCTATTCAATCATAAGGAAATATTCACTTTCACTAAATAATTTGAGAAGCAACATTTGCATACTTATGTTCTTGCTGCTACACATTCCCTTATTCTCCTGATATTGATCTTAAAGATTCAGAGTTCGAGACTAAATATGATTGGGGTTACATGGTTAACAACATCTGGTTATATTCAGGACATAATCTCTGGTTGAGGTTAGTTTTTTTATTAAATTCCTACAACAGAAAAAGGAGTCTGCTCAGTCAATGTTCTAACTGCACAAGATTACAACGATCAGTCAAATGGTTTATTTCATAAACAGAATATTTAATCCCACATATTTATAGGATGATATGCAAGGTAAAGGACAATGAGTAAGCACTCCTTCATGAACCCGTATAGAAAAGTAATAGTTCATTGTTGCTAGGATTAGTATCAGATAATTGTGTTCATTACCAGACTAAGACCAAAATTTATAGTGATATAAATTTACTTCTGGAGATTAAAATTGATTTCAGCTGTAGTCTGAAATAAGGTTAATAACTAACCTGAAGAAACTGAGTGAACTCTGTATAGTTAAGATGCTTCTTTCTGTTATGTCCAAAATGCAGCCGAATGAATTCACAGTCCCAGTTGAAGGGGATTTGATGATGAATAGTAGTTTGTTCAAACACTTCTTTGACATTTGCTTTAAGGAAGGGAAAAAACAAGAAGTGAGGTTTGGGGTAAATACAAACATTCCAGGAAACAAATTAAGTTTTAAGGAGCTGTTTAAGAAGTGTTTTGTTGAGAATAGTTACTAATTCAGCTTTTACAGACTTGCATAAGAACACATTTGCTATCCAGTGTGATACTTTCTGTATTACTGCATAAAACTTTGGAGTGTTTTGCCTAGTTTTAATTAAGAAGCGATTTATCTTTTTCCCTTGTACACGACAAATAAGAGCTAATTTGCATTCCAATACAAAAAACCAATAGAGGTTCTCCATCTCTGCCAGGAGTCAAATTAAGCCCTTTATCAAGGGCACAAATACCTGCATTACAATCTCACAGAATATCTGTCATACTAAGTATGGTTTGACTGAAACTTGATTATTACAATCATACAGTCTGAACATGTCTATTGAAGATAGGTATAAGAAATGCCACCTAAAACATATTATTAGCTCAGCAAAAAGCGCCTTATTAAAAGCTTTTGATAAGAACTTATAAAAAAATCGAATCCTATAAAGCATAATTGGTAGTCTCTGTTATTAAAATGTTTTAAGACAAGTGAAGATAGAGATGTCCTCATACAAATGAAGGGAAAAAAAGCTCTCCTTTCAAGATATGGAATTCTCTATATGTACACTGTACAACTGAAATACCAGACCTAACATATCCAAAGTCAAAAGCCTCACTTAAAAAAAAAAGTTTCATTTATTCATACTCAGCATTATCACTCTGCAACACAAGCATGGGTTTTGTGCTGATTATCTGACCAAATAAACAGTCCAAAACAGTAAAAACAGTAAAAGTACAACTGGACATCTATCCATACCATGCAAACTCTTTTCAAAATCTACTTTGAAGTACTTGAATTAATGTTAGCTTTCATCAACTAATCTCAAACCTGCTAACTGCCAAATTAAATTGTGTCATATAGCTCAAATTTAAAACAGAACACATTTCATTTTGCTGAAAACACATCTATTTTTTTATAAGTTTAGAATATTTGCTCAACACTGCATCAGTGTATCTGTTAATCAGACATATTAAAGGCATTCTGTGGAACTACTATTCTGAAACAGTTCCGTCAAAAGACAAAATGTAATCAGAAGAACTTTAATGTCTTTTTATCCTTCTATCAAGACTAATTTGCTTGCAGTGTTGCTTTCTCTGTGCCATAGGACTGCTCGATTCGTACACCCTTTCAGATCTGTAGCTATTCTAGCAGTGAGCAAATCACTCTATGGTTGTATATTTTCAGCAAGAAAAGGAAAGGAAATCTTTAGAACAAATATGTTTCAGAATGAGAACACACAGTAGGATTCTTTCCCTAGATCACTTGCTTCACAGATAGTTTGAGATTACCTATTTAAAGGGCAGACTACGGCTATTGAACGATTTAACTGTAATTTAGCCCTTACCTAAAGGTCTAACACAGACCATAGTTGAAGAACTGCAATTTAAACCAGTTTTCAATGCAAGCTAGGCTAAATTAGGTGTTCAGGTAAGCAGGAAACTTAAAAAAAACTTGACTACTTTCAATTGCCCATTCATATCTACTCACTGATATACTAAGTGAGGGCTAAGAAAATAAGATAAAGCAACACATTCATACCATACTGAATTATATTATACTGAATTATATTATTTTGCCACATTTCCTTTGAAAGTTTTGTCTGTAGTAGATTTACTCGCCATTGCTACAGAAACCAGGAGAGGTAAAGTTAAATTCCCCACCTACCATCGATTCACTGTGGCTTCTGGCCAAACTAACTTGAGTACTACAAATAGATCAATGTAACTCATGGTTAAACTTGCAAAATGGCACTGAACTGTAAAGGGAGCACAAGACTGGTCTGCTTAATTGGATCTATCGGCTTGGCCACCAGTGTACAAGCACAGCTAATTTCCAGGGGGCAAAAAACCAAATTGTTTTTACCTCCTTTCATTTTAGTATGACATTTTACAGAATGCGTTCACTGCCCCAGTTAATGCACGTTGCTCATTTGCTAATGCCTTCTACACTTTGCTCATCTTTCTGCAGTAGAATGCTTTCCTACTGAGTGGATAACTTTATTTCTGAGCTTATGGCAAAGCATTTTCTTCTCAGACAGGCATATGAGTCAGTTTACTGATAGTCAAATTACTATCAGCTCCAGGAACAATAAACCCACTACTCTAGTGCACTAGTACATTACCTCCAAGGCAACATGCATTCTCTCAAGATTGCTTCAGAATTTCCCCACCCAATCATTTTAAACAAATTACAGATGCCTGGAGCAGCTATCTGCAGGCAGCATACACACAACCAGCTCAGTTCCCATCAATACCATTACCTTGCAGGCTCAGAAAGATGATATAAGAAAAACACATTCTTAGGCAATAGTGAATTTCAGAGGAGAAAGATTACTGTAAGTTATAAACACCAAGAGATTTTGTTGATTAGAATGAGATAAAGACCGTCACACAACACCAACACAACCAAAGCATCACACATCTGAATGCTACAGTTCATGCTCCCTGAATGACAAACATTTTTGGCCCCACTCACGGTGGGGATGAGTTTACTACTTCAAATATACCATGAGGTGGTATCAGTTATTTTTAGAGAAAACTCTTCAAAATTCAGAGGGAAAATCTCAAAATTCCAATGCAATCAGTCTTTTTGCCATTCTCTCTCACAACTGAGACAACATTCTTCATGCTTGTTAGACACACAAATATAAATGAGGCACTTTTAAACACTAGCATAAATATGCCATAAGTTTGTTGTTTAAGAGGTTGTTTTTAAACGTCTGCTCAGTCACCTGTGGCCTCATTTGTATGAATCTCAGCCTCAGTGTGCACTGTGCATTTAATGTTTTCTATGCTGCTACTTTTCACTATTCCTACTAACAGCAAATTTCAAGTATTTTCATTTTCAGCATAAAATAATTACAGATAAAAGGACTTTTATCGTGAGCTTTGCAGCGGACGTACACTAACAGTGATCCAAATATGAATACAGTGAAAAAGACAAGTGGCAAGACAAATGAGAAAACTAAAATAGAAATAGTTGCCTTGCATTTCTACTCTTATTTTTAAAGACTACAACAGTAATTCTACTCAAGATTAGTGACAGCCATAATAACAAATTGTCTCTATATATAATTCTTATGTTATTATATATATAATAAATTATATATATTATATATGTATATAATATTATATACATTATATATATATTAAAATATATTATATATACTGAAATTTCTTTTCAGTTCCCTCTAGCTGAACTTTCATTTTGAACTTAATACTATGGAAAACGTTCGAGATCTCCTTGTGTTCTTAAGCCCTTTATTATTATAAAAAATAGGGAAGTCTTCCATTAAACACTGCTCCAAAGTGCTTGAAACTGTGGCTTAAATCAAAAAGAATCATAAAACAAAAGCAAATGAACAAAAAGACAGCACAGAGAAAAGAAAAACATCACTGTATCCTACATAGTCAGAATGTAATAAGCAAAAGGCAGCTTGAAAACAGGCAACTAATATATGGCAAAGAGGAAGTCAATTGCAGCTTTATATTACTGCACACCTGGAAAGAACACGGTGTTTTTCTTACACCTTCAGATACAAAATCATGTGATCTTTCTGTTTATGCTTCTAAAAGTTACCAGCCTTTATGGTTGCAAACACTATTTCGCAAGGCAGAGCTCTTAAGATTATCTTCAAATCCTAGCATTTTCAATCTAGCAGCTCTTTTGGAAACGGGAGAGTGACTACTAGGAGCGATCTGTATTTCTTGAAAAATAACCCTCAAAAGCAGAGACTTACAACAGCATACATTCAACTCCTTTCTCTTATTCTTGTCATTCACCTTCTTCATGTCTACCACGTCCTGTTTAAAGGAAATCGGAATCGTTCTTTCCCAGATTAAAGTTTGTTGGCAAATAATTATTTTAAGAAAATAGATGGATGAGATTTCAGTACCATGGTACACCCAACATCTGAAACAATTTCATTATATCGATGCTTATTTCAGTTAATTGGTATTGTAATCTTTATGTAGTTGCAGTAATAGTTATCCAATCCCTTTACTGACCATGTCTTGGAAGAAGAGCCATTATGTTCTACATAATATTTTTAATGTTATGTTGAGCTGCAGGATATTTTTTAAAGCCTTATATTTGGTTTCATAAATACTTTCCATTTTTCTAAAAAATAATTTTAAAACTCTGAGTACAGAATAATCATGAAGGTAGTAAAATTGTTTCCAAATCTCATTGCTTTAGTTCTATTTATCTATCCACATCAGCACAGGTATTTAAATGAAAAACGATCTCCAAAATGCTCCAGTTTGTCAGAGAATGGCTTTCTTTGCAGTGGCTCTACTCTGCAAGAAGCCTTGAAATTGTATATTCCAATTAGAACTCATACAGTTCTGATCACTGTATGGTTTGTCCAAAGGATAAAATATAAAGAATTATTTCATTTCCATTTAGAAAAAACATTTCTGGGTAGAAAGTTCTGTGATAGTTATACTTGCCTTTTTTGCAGCAAGTACCATCTGCCACAGTGCAGAACATCTCCAAGTAACTTGAACAGATTTCATGTGAAGACTTGCTCTAGCCTCAATTCAGATCAAAATTCCTTTACAGCTCTTCCTTAGTGGAACAACACTAACTTCATGATCTGCTTTTAGATATCTCACTCATGTCAAATAGCTTGGCCAGTTACACCCCATGAACAAAATAACAGAATGATTCTTCTTTTCTGGCTACAGGAACTAAAACTAGAAAGATAATACACGGGGAATAAAATAACACTTTATCTGTCCTAGCTGTTATCTTTTAAATATTTTATGATCAAAGCAATATTGTAAGGGATCATCAACACATTTCCCAAAAAATATTAACATACGAGTCTTTTATGAAGACATGCAAACTTTTAATCATGATTTTTTTCCCCCATTTCTTCATGATTAAAAAGTTAATTTGAATTACAGCACCATTAGTATCACTGGGTTATTAAAATAGCCATTTTATCATCTATCATTCAGCAAGCTGATAAGTGGATCATTGTAGCTGGAATATGTAAAAAATACTGAACACACTGTGCAACAAGTCTGCTCATATGAAGTAGGTCTAATTCAATTTTCTTGCAACAGATCTTAAAAGAAAAACTGCAATATACTACCAGCACACCTGTGGCAGTTAGTCATAGATCTCAGGATGTCAAAAACTCCAGGAAAAATATTCCAAAGCAATAAGAAAGTAGAGGACATCCAAGCATCACATTCAGCACACAAAAAGCATCTCAATCCAACAATATGAACTGAATTAACACTATATTGCATTGACAAAGACAATGATTAGTGCCATGCCACAAAGCTGACACATATTTCTCTCAAACATTTTCTAAAAAATAAAAAATTATTTGCGCTTTTCAATTTTTCAACTCAAAAGACACAAGTTATTTTGTAATGTATGTTATATAATGGCTCCTCACTGGAGAGTTGGAAAGCAGACTTCTGCAGAGACAAATCACAGATTGAGGGTAAAGAGAACTGCAAGAAGTTTAAGTGCTGAAGTACAGTCTGTCACTAACTAAATCCTAGAAAGTAGATAGGAATCTCCCTGGAACAACTTTAAAACATACAGCCAGATCTAAAGAATCACCAAACACTTAACCCCCTCCAGATAAGTGAAAAATTTGAATAGATTAGGATAATTTTCTGAAAATGCCATATAGCCATACTGAAATGATTTGGGAATATGGCCAGCTTGGGTGCAGAAGTAGTCTTTAATAGGGGATCGGAGCCAGTGTGGCTTTTTTCCTCTAGCGTTTTGGTTTGAGCCTAGCTTTAATACATCAACATTATCTCATGTCCAGCAAGGCCAGTATTGGTTCAAGTTACTGACCTAGCAGACCCACCCCAATCCTGTGTTCCACTGTCCAATACTTCCACTCCTTCCTCTAAATGCACAGTGAAGAAAAACTTCAATAAATCCATCTCAATTACAGCAAGACATGCTGATTTGAGTTAGCTTCAGCATCAGTACAGTCACATTCCCAAAGCACTGCATCTGAGATAGAAAATCCTGACTCATGTTTGCTCCTGTAATCAATGTGGTTTATCTGTAGACCAGATAAATTACCTACCAATATGAGATGACATGCAATTTCCACACTAATTGGCTAATACACTACTTGGAGTATATTTCTAATATTTTACTATGACTTTTAGATGTTCATATGTAGAATTCTTAATTTATAGAGATGTATACAGTGAGTATGTTATATTTGACAGTGTAATAATGTTTATCTATAATTATCTTTACTTATTCAGACCTGCATGGAATGCAAAGTCTACTAACTGAAGAGATCAAGTGTTTCCTTCCTTCTTAGCCACTGGAAAAGATTCTTTGAAGAAAATGAGCGGTGTGTCATGATCAAGGTGAAACACCTTCCTCCAAAGACTTGGGAAAATCCTAATTTTATATATTCTCCTGTTTTTACAGGAAATTAAACTCCATAGCCTCTGTTGATGTGGTGTGAAAATGAAAGAGTGCAGGTCACATTCAAGAAACAGTCTCTGAAGGAAACAAGATTAATCAATTGCAGAGTTACTAAATATCATATATCATCATTTGCACTTTTCTTACATACATTAATTTGCACAGTACCCTACAAAGTAAAAATAAGTAGCCCATTTTACTAACAACATACAAAATGCAAATGCAAAGGAGCTACAAAAGTATTAAGTACTTCTGATACGATACAACTTACAATTAAATTTAATTTAAATAAAATTTTGCTAAAATGAGATCATTAGCAAATCTTAAAATCACTAACAAGTTTGCTATTCAAGGTATATCAGTCATATAAGAAAGGCATGGAAAAAAGAATGTGTAATTGCTTTAGTTTCTCTTGCTTGTATTGTTCTTTTAGTTTTAATGTAACGATGAAACAATGAAAGTAACAATCAGTCTGATTGAGAAATCTGTGTACCACCTGAATTGTTTTCTGTTGTTTTACAGAACCAACTATTTCAAGTGTGTTTGCATCAGCTGCAAAATACATAATCCTCATTTAGTGAGATTATTAAAGACACCATCATTAACACAGTCACACCAGTTGTAATAGTTTGTCTGCTTTCTAATGTCTACATTTACTGACTCCACCTTAGGTTAATTCAAGATGCTGTGTGTCCAAATGGTTTAGTATTTGACAATTCAGTTAATCATGTAATTTAATAGATGCCATAACTCAAGCAGTTTGTTTCCATACAAAGACACGTGCATTATTTGTTTCAACTATTTTCAAAGCTGAAAGAGTTTCCATAAAAACGAAGTAGTACAAACAGCAAGTGGTTACAAATCCAAGCACAGTATGTATATTCTTTATTGAGCAATTTATTCTTTTGGATAGAAATAACAAAATTTTCATTCAATTTTATTAAATTCTTAGCATTTGTTCATCTAATTTTCATAGAAGTACAAAGTTTTTTTTAATACAAAACCTAGTCCTCCTTAGACTGTAATGTTTTTAAGTGACATTATAAAGTGTTATAGTTAGCCTAAATAATTTTGTCCAATTACTAACATATGTTGAGAGGAAAAAAAAAAAAAAACTTAAAAACCATTGTTTCTTCCTAATTTTGTAATAATACATTAACCAGCTAGAAGTTACATTCATTATATTAAAGATTGCTGCTCAATTGGAATATTAGACTAAGAACTCAAAAGATTAGATCTCCTTCATTTTTATTTTGAACCCTTACCATATTTAACAACAGCTCTTCAAAGAGATGAGGAGAATCCAAACAAAAACTCCTCAAAATGAAGGAGATCAAAATTCATGACACAAGACTTTCACTTAGGACGATTCTGAACAAAACAGCATTGAACTAAGAACTTCCACGAAGATGAAAAATCTCAATTCAGAAAGACAGAACAAAATATATTTTTACTATGCATTGCTTAAACTTGTAAAACTTGGAAGAAAAAAATTACTCATGCAAACTGTTTAAGGAAATGAGTAAAACACCATGTAAAATGTGTTTCTAGCTGTGGGAGCTATTCTTGCATTTATACTATTACTACTTTCTTAAACTGTTTTTCTTTAGACATTCTTACCAAACGTTACTTCTCCATTGCCACTCTTGTCAAATAACTGAAAAGCAACAATGAATATTGCATCTGGAGTACACAAAACAGATTCAAATGCCGAAAATTCTTGAAAGGAAATCAACCTACAAAGTAAAATACATAAGTTATAAAGATTTCAATGGAACTATACACAATATCAATAACATTTTGATGCTCTAAAAATGTTCTGATTCAATTACTAAAATTAAAATCTAATACTCAAAATTTAAGACTCTATACTAGAAAGAGTTGTTTGTTATAATTGAGTAGCTACTTAAGCTTTATGTGGCTCACTATCTTGTACCAGAAGAGGACTGGAATTCTTCATACCCACTAACAACGAAATATAACCAATTCTCAGCAAGTATCTACTCTTTAGTAACTCATAAGTATAAATTTATGCAGATGGCACTTAAAAATTGATATATAAAAAAATCCACAAAAGTTCTATCAGTATGAAATTCAAGGATCTATCAGTATATTACTAATTCTTGTATTTCTCACGAGAAATAGCTTTTAATGTAAGTATAGGAAGATCCTATGCAATACGTATACTCTTAAAACAACATATTCATAATAAAGTTATATTTTACTGTGTTATATTTTACTATATTAAAGATTACACCTCAAATATTACATTAACCTCGAGGTCACACAAAGCAAAGAAAGGACAAGAAAGAAAGAAATAAGAACGTTTGGACAGTTAAGACATGATCAAGGAAGCTAAGGATTTGAGTGTAACACTTCATCACAAGACAATGAGCTGCATATGTGAGACATTCACCATAGAGAAAAACGTAACTCAGGATGCATCAGGAGACCTGTTTTTAGTCGAGATGAGGAAGCAGCCGTATCACCAGACAGGGCTTTCACGACATCTCTGGAACGCTGCATACAAACCAAAGTCCTCGTTTTCAACACATACTGTTTTCAACACATACTTTGAATGGATGCACAGATATGACAATCACAAAGAACTTCTCTAGGGAAACAGTTTGTGACAAGTAGAAAAAAAAAAGATAGGATCCTACATAAGAAAAGCTACAGCAAGACAAGCCTCAAGTCAGAAGATAAATGATCCTGTTGGCACAAAAGAACAAAACTGCACTGGGTATCCATAAGGACATGCAATGTGGGCACATGCCACGGCCTTTCAAAACAGTGCAAGCAAAATCCCTAGGTTTTAAAAACAACAACTAGATTGATGAGAATTTTCCACTCAGTTTCAGGCTCCTGAGTACAGACGTAAGTGATGGCGTAGCTATTTTAACATCAAACAAATTATCAGTGGGAATAAGAATTTCCAACATTTTTAAATAAAAATGTACTACTTTGTTAGATGTTGTTAAAACAAGTAGATATCATGTAGACAGTACATTAAATGTACATAAATGTCCAAATTTATAAAATGAACTGCTTTAGCAAGTTTCATAGTACATTTAGTAATATTCACAGAAAATCATTAGCTCATAATTATTGCTTCGTACATAGATCACTTACAGTTAAACACACGTATAAAATCCTCATAGGGGAAAAACATCTAACCATGTGTTAGTTTACATAGCCTTTGTCAAAGTATATGCAACGTAGAGTTGAGACACTTGAACAAGATCATTTATTTTAACATACATGCATATATGCAGTATACAGAAAACAAAAATAAATGTGACTTTGGAAGGAATTAAGATATGGAAAATATAGAATGACATTATTAATTTCTCATACATTATCCATAAAATTAAAGATGAGAAAATGGTTTTCCAAATGCAAAGCCAACTTCATGCCTCATTTCCAAACACATCTCACATACAAGCACAAATCTAACATTAATCCCTAACCAGGAAGGTTTATAACAGACAAAAATCAAGTGATGATTCCCTGTAGAATTCATTCTTGTAGAAGCCTGAACCTGAAAGAAATTGTTCTCCAGAGCTCCCTTCAACAGTGCCTACAGCAAAAGGAGATAGACACATTCAACTTCCCTTCCATATATTCTATATATTCAGCTTGCAACATCTAAAAGCAGGAATATTTTGAGCAATCCACCATTATCAGGGTGGAAATAAGAGGTAGATTAAATGGAACAAATGAGCTTCCCAACCAAACGCTACTTAAGCATTATTCTGTGAACCTGCTGCACTCTCATTTTATTGGTATCATTTTTTTAAAAAATTCCATTCTCTTATTTCTTCTGCACTGTCACTCTCCAAAAGCACACAAAGTAAGCTACATGTTTACAGTTATTCTGTCTTTCCTCGTTTCCTACTACAACTTCTTACTCTTTATCCACACAACACAGCTTTTGTACATAACATATATCCTTGTTGTGACTGTCCATGAAGTGAAACATTGGCTCTTTCTTCAGTTCACTGAAGAACACACTTTCAAACTCTAAGAATGATATGCTGATAGGCAAAGTAGCCAGAAATAGGCAATTAAAATGTAGAATCTGAAACGACTACTGAAATTTTGCAGGTTCAAAGACAGAAGAAAGGGGTTTTTTTATTTTAAAACCTGAATAGTCACAATATTAGATAGGACTTCTGTTACTGAGAAGGTGGTTTTGACACACATTTGTATATGAGTACATTATTAATAAAGGATATGTACCCTAATCCTAATTTTAAAAGTAGTGCCAGCAATCTCTGATACAGGAATGCTTAATAGCAGCATCAGTGAAATTCCACTGCATTTAACAGACAACAGACAGCTCTAATTTAGAGTTGCTCATCAGGCAAGCCTGGCAGATTTTGAAAACTGACACAGGAATGAAATTTCATAACAGGACCAAAGCTTCTCAATTACTTGCTGCGTGACCTTGGGCTGTCTTTTGATTTACAAATGTCTGTATGGAATAAGAATAGTGATACTTCTTTGGACTTTATAAATTAATTTTTAAGACCTTGGAAGGATGCAGTGTACCACTGGAATTCAGCAAAAGACTACAATAACTATCAATGCTACAGATTAAATTCTCTGTACTGATGATGCAGGATTTTGGCATATTACAGGAAGGAATAATAGGAATTACTAGAAATAATAATGCAAATGCAAAAATAAGTAAACCAATGATGATGTGGGTATAGCCCTCTTCACATGAATTAACGAGTAGAGAAATACAGATTAAAACACTTAAGAGAATACATTTCAGCAAGTATCAACAGGTGCAAGTTCAATGCTTCCACATAGAAGCAGATGGAGCACACTTACCCATATCTGATTACCTCGCTTCCAACATTACCCAGACTAAAAAAAGGCACCTAAGAAAAGCTTATATTCACAGAGGGAGCAGCAACAAAAAAACACCGAAGTCTCATTGTCAAGTTCTGTTGTAGCAATAAGAAAAAAATTACTGACTTCTTACTGTAAGAAAGGTCCTTTTATATAATGTTTTCTGAAGAAATGTACACCCTAAAAGACAATCAACAGCTTTCAGAGAAACAAGGTACTCAACGTGTTGATTTAGCAGTCATCAGTTAGAGTATTATTTCAACAGATGTGCACATACTTAATCTGTGCATTTTTAAAGTGTCTGAATCTGAATCAATCTTCAATCTGAAACAACACAACAAACTACTGCCACGCATTACAAGCAGTGAGACAAGTTATTTGGATTTATCAAACATATGTATATATATTACATTTATCAAAATGCTGCAATTTTATTATAGGAAGCTATCAAGTAACATTACATCAAAAAGGAAATCTTAGAGTTATCACTTACTATAAAATATATGCAGCATATAAAATTCTGTTTGTAAAGCACAGAGACTGTGCAAGTTGCTCAGGATGCTGTGCAAACTAATAAAGTGTTCTTAAACAAAATAGAGAAAAACAAAAGCATTTAAGTGATGTCAAGGGTCTGGTTCAGGCTCATGAAGCCAAGGAAGTTAAGGGACTTTCAAATGAATATATATGACATCTATTTACAGACTTCATTTTAACAGCAACTTTCTATCTCTTCCCTATAATGCACCCCCCTTCTTTCTGCAGTTTTGACTTCTTCTCTGATTCATCTTGATCTCTTCACTTTAAAAATGCCCGTGCTTGCACACAACAAAAGAAAACTCTTCTCTGAAAGACAAATAGGTTAGAGGGTACTACCTCACTAGAATTGGCATTTAATATGTTAGTTTCAGAAAGAAGTCTAAAAGCAACTAACATCACCTATAAGCAATGCCAGAAAAGCTTTATGTGGTGTGATCTCATCTGGATTAGGCAAACACTTAAAAAAAAAAAAAAAAAAAACCCTAAAAAAAGCCCTCAGTTGTTTGATGTAAATTCTGCTCCTTCTCCACATTTCCATGTATAATTGTGCGTACTAAGGACTCTTAGTATCCAGTCATGGATGTGAGTACACAGAAAGAAAACAACTTTTGCAAAGCAGTTACACTGCATTAAACTGATTTAAAGTGTATCTTCCTCTGCATTTGCAGTAACTGCCAAATCTCATTTAAAAGTGTTAACCATTGTCTCTTTCTCCCCCTCAAGTTCCACAAATGTAGACTACTATGTAGTCCATTGCATTTGAGAAAAAAAATAATTTAACTAAGCTTGAAGAATAATGAAATCAAGAGTGCATTTTGGAAGATGAAATTACTAAAGAAACATTTATCAACGCATTACAGGCTTCTAATGGAAAACAAAATTCTCACCCATCTTTAGTTTGATCTGCCACTCCAGCCAACAGCTGTACTGTTTTAGGATTGTAACGTGGATCTGTATGAAGTCCTAAGTATTTCTGCACAAAATCTTCTGGGGTCATGTAATGCTCTCCATCTTTCTCAACACTGGCATACTAGAGAGATAACAAAAAAACAAACCATATAACAATTAATCCATCTAGACATTAATTACCGGTGATTACCAAATCAGCATCTTTATGAATATCACTCAAATACTGCAACTGCATGCACCTGCTCTGAAATTAAAGGATATGGTTAAAACATGCAATTGCACTGCAATACTAGCTGTCCATGTTGTCCCTGTGGAATAATGTATCCACATCATGATCACTATCTTAAAAAAAAAAAAACAAAACAAAACAAAACAAAAAAAAAACAAAAAACAAAAAACAAAACAAAAAAAAAAAAACAAAACAAAAAAGCCCTAAACATTTTCATAAATGGTCAGGTAATTGCACAAATTTACAACTACAGCTTTTTCATTTGCAGTTGCACTGTGAAAACAGAGCACAAAATTCCTCTCAAAGTTTCTAATTAATTGATACTAATCACTCATAATTACTGTACATACTTATCAAACTGTTTTCTCCTTTTGTGAGAAATAGTTTTTCAGATTTATGTTTGTCCAGAAATGAACAGCTCCGGCATTTCTCACTTACATAAAAAAAACCTCACTGATCATGTATAAAAATTAATTCAAGATGGCAAAACTGTCGCAGAAAATTTTTTTCTATTTATGATATAACAATAAACTTAGATACAAAACTTAAGTATTCAGATTGTAAAATTAAACTGTTGACATACTAGAACATAGAAAAGTAGCTCATAAAAGATTTCTAGTTCACTAACTTACCATGATCAGATGCATTTTATTGACTGAATTTTTCTAAGCATATTTGCTCACAAAGCCCGTAAACAAGCTTATTTAATAGCTTTAAATCCTTTTCCTCCTGTACAGTCAGTCCACTTGTACACAGAATGCAAATCTTCACATAAACACATAGAAACATGTTCCTTCAAAGAAACAATAAGTTACAAAATTTCACAGTTGTTTCATGAGAATATTAATGTGAAATGAAAGTACTGGCTTTCAGTTTGTTTGTACAAATGCAGTACATGTTCCTAGGCTCCAGCCATTGAAAGATGTCAGCCTATGAGCTCTCCGCAGAAAAGACAATGCCCACTGCATTCCCCTCAGCTAGTGCAACATTTATGTGAGGAAATCTGAACTTCAATCTAAGGCCTTATCCATCATTTGTACCGTTTCCATTACACACTATTACATCTTGGCTCAGGTGAGACAGGTTTTAGTGAAAGAGTAACAAAAAACAGCTCCTGCAAGGAACTCACAGGAATGACAGTGCCACCTGGACAACATACCTGGTAAGCTGTAACATTCTGTTGGGATAAAGAAGATCACTTGTGTCTCATATGCTCCTTTTACCACATTCTGCCAGGATGTTTCAGCATAGAGTATCAGCACCAACATCCCCTCAGGCATCTCCCTTAGCTTCCCACATCTTTTCCACAACTCCTCATCTCTACTACACCATATAGTAGTGATAAGAGATTTTTGCAAGACTGCAGTAAATAATTTCACTCGCAATGGACACGAATCCTTCCATTCAGCGCTGCTACCAACATGATGAAAACATAGCTTCAACGTAACAGCTTAGAAAAGTTCTCTTCTCAGCCTTTGTATAATCAATGAATATAAAGATGTTATAACTAAGAAATACCCAGGAAAGTTAGCTGACTTTTTAACGCAACAGGAGGATAATAAATGGAAAGTGCTTACTGATGTTGTAGGCTTGCAATATCCTCCACAAGGAGCCACCTCCAGAAGAGATCCTTCCTCAGTGGCAGTCAGCACTTAAATGGGTCTGGGAGAGGTAGAGCCAGGCTCCATCCCTTCCGGTAGCACAGCTGAATTGCCTTCACCTGTGCTCCTGTGGCTGACTCATGGCTCGCCTCAGGTGGTCAATCAGAGGCTCAAGCTGTGATTCCACAGTTCCCATACAGCCTTATATTGATATGACTAAAAAGCACGTTATCAAGTACAGCTCTGCTGCAACACACGTAATCTGAATGAAGTTTTATAAACAAAGGACCACAGAATATGAAGAGCATTGAACACATCCTTAAGGGCAACAGAATTCAACTGCGTGACAAATGAGGGTGTTACAAAGATAATAAAAAATCCAAACGCCATTGTCTTTTTAAATTCAAGCACCAACTTACCTGAATATATCACACATAATGGATTCTTAGAGTTAGGTGTAGGGGAAATTTTGTTAAAAATTTTGAGACTAAAATAATCAAAGGACAGATACATTCAGCTCCATACGAGAAGGTCATGGTATTTGGAAAGAGCCTGGCCATAAGCCAATAAATTAAGGCCTGACAAAGTAGCTAGGCTATTCCCTTTTGGCACGTACTTATAAGATCTGTCCTCAAGTGACACTTTCACCATACAGCTTACATATCTTTTGCAATTAGACAAGGCCATTGTTAACTTTAAATTGCATATAAAATATGACACACTAATTACATTTCTCTTTTCCTCAGGCTTGAATTAGATTACTGTTTATTTACGTACACATTTTTTAATCTTACTGTACATTTATGGACTGCCTCAGGCACACGGTGAGTTTGCGTGATCTTTCTGTAAACCTCATCACAAAATGCAAACACATAAAAACTCTATTTGTACCACATCGTATGAGGAATCACCACACTTCTACAAGCGATGCACAGTTTGAAAAATCAGTTAGCTTTCAGTTTAAAGGGATTTCTCTCCCAACAATTCTATCAGGGCAGAGGAGAAAGAAGTTCCAAAACAAAAGAGTTCTGCAGTATTCTCAATATATTATTTTTAGTATGATCAGTCTAAGTTCTGAGCATTCAAGACGTTTTTAAGGAAGGTGGGGGGAATGCTTCCTGTATGAAAATTTGAAAATGCTATCATGATTATTTCTCCTCTTTGCTGAACAGGTTTCATTTGCATTCAGCCAAGCTTCAGAAATTCTAAGAGAAAGGTAAAAGTCAAACATCCATTAATATATACCTTAAACTTTAACAGAGAAGTTGGCATGATTGTATTGGAAGATATATATGAATAGAAGGAAATTTAAGTACACTCTCTAAGAATAAGGTCAGTGACGAAGGAGCCCACAGTTCCCATCTTCCCTTGCATCCATTTCCAAGGGAAGCCAAATTTAGAAGGAATGCTCGCCCTTTAACTAAAGCTGACAGAATGAGCCTGCACCCTCAGGAAAGAGCACAACATATCTGACCCTTTAAGTGTGCAACACTAAGAGTATTTCATAACCAGAATCTACAGCCGAGTCTTGGAATGACTGGGCTCTCTTCAGATTTTGTTAATGTTTGCAACTAAGTTTGCTTGCTATCTATCAAAGTAAAAATATAATATAATCTTCAACTAGAATTCTATAATTCTATAGTCCATCTCTCCAAAAATATATATACTCTTCCTATGCAACTGTGTGTCTGAGTAACCTGTCTTTTGTTTTTCAATACAATCCTCGGGCACTCAGGGGAGATGAGAACTTTTGCACTTTTGACTCCTCAGGGCATCAACCTGTAGAGTATTTGCTTTTTAGGTTAATAAAACAGACACTGTCATATCAACATCTTCAAGATTAAGCTCCTCTCCACTTTTTCATGTATCACCAATGTCAAGGACTCCAAATACTTATTTCTAGAAGCAAGTGCATCTATTGACTAGGAGATTGATACTGAGCCTACTTTTCCAAGTTAAATAGAGTATTTTCACATCATAATTCCTGTTTTTTTGTAACCCAACATGCAGAATTATCTTTCTTGAAAAAGTCTACAAAAAGAGCAACGTGATGTTCCAGAAGCACATACTTTTATACCGTTTGTGTATTCCTTGTACATAAAAAAATCCTAAATGTCTCGTGAACAAGAAATGAATCTGTGATAGAGTAACTTCAACTTGAAACTAACATTTAGGCTTTCATGGTTTGACTCCAAAAATCTAAGTTTTTCTGTTGTTTCTGACAAACAATACAGTCAGAATAATCCATTCTACAAAGCAAAGATCCCACCAAACGATGGTTGAAACATAATCTCTCTCTACATGTCAGAGATGCCATAACAGAATTCATTATTTACAGAATCATGGAATCATTAAAGTTGGAAAAGACCACTAAAATAATCTAGACCAATCATCAATGCATCACCACCATGCCCACTAACCCACATTCCTAGGTGCCACATCTGCTCTTCTTGAACATCTCCAGGGAGAGTGATTCCACTGCCTGCCTGGGCTGCCCATTCCAATACCTCACCACTTCTGACAAGAAATTTTTCCTAATACCCAACTTGAGCCTCCCCTGGCACAACTTAATGCCATTCCTTCTGCTCCTATCACTGTTAGCTGGGAGAAGAGGCTAACCCCTGCCTCACGACAACCTCCTTTCAGGTCACCATAGAGAGTGACAAGGTTTCCCCTGAGCCTCATCTTCTCCAGACTGAACAATCCCAGCTCCCTCAACTGCTCCCCATACACTTCTGTTCCAGACCTTCCATTGCTTCACTGCCCTACTCTGGACATGCTGCAGGGCCTCAATATCTTTCATGTTGTGAGCAGCCCAAAACTGAACACAGTAGTAATACTTATATATTACTTCCTTCTTTACAGAGCAGTTTCTTGAATGTAGTGTGCAATTTTCAACAGGAAAGAAAAAAGATACCGTTGTGATTTTAGAAAATGAGTGGCCCAGCTATGGACCTAAACCAGCTGCGATTATTCTAGACACCTATTTCAAACCTCAAAAGTTATAGGATTGATTGGCTTTTCTTTTTAGATTGATGTTTCACTGTAACTAAGAGGAGTGGATAAAACAACACTATTATTCAGATAGAGTAATTCTAATGACCTACGTGACAGGTAATACTATGAAATACATAAATCTTAACAATAATAATTCAAAATTCTGAAAACATTGCCAACAGCCCATCCATCTGCAGAAGGATCACAGCTGAAGCTTACAGACAAGTCACACAGCCATAGAAGTCAGAACTAAGCAGAAGCCTGCTCTTAAAATAACTGTCTTGGTTACAGTTGCAATCATTTCTGTCAGGGGAATTTAGAAAAGACTTCAGAAAACACTTTAAGGCTATGATGCGGAATGGATAACCACAACCCACACAGCAGTGCCTGAGGCCCCTACCCTGCGTGCAATGGCAGCTTCTGTCCACATAACCGATTTTGTCCCATCACCCACACACTGACGGTGTGGCTGAAAACACAAGCCTGCCGGCCAAGGAGCATCAGACCCGTCTGTTTACCTGCAAAAAGATACTTCGTAGTTCGGCAGGATCTGCTCTTTTGATGGAAGGCACCTGCAAATAAAAGTATGGCAACGCTTCACCAGCTGAGCTACAGACATAACTCAGGAACAAAACGCAATTCGCGCCGATAAGGGCAGCGGTATCGGCTCCCTTATCTAACAGATAAGCGGACTCAAACACGATACGCCTGATCACCGCCGTCCGCCCGGTCAGTCGGGTACTGCTGACCGCCGTCTCAGCGCGCCGCGCCCCGTCCCTCAGGATGCGGAGCTCCGGGCCCCGACTGTGCCGTCCGACTAATGACCTCGGCCCGCGCCGCTCCCCCTCGGCAGGGGAAGGCAGGACCGGTAGCGCTGCCCCTTCCCCGCGGCCGCCCCGCCGCCGCCGCCGTCTTCCTCCCGCATCCCCCCGGGAGGACGGAGCGGCCGCCCGCCTCCTCCCGCGCCCAACGACGGAGGAGTCACCTTGACCGCCATGCTGCGCCGGCGAACGGGAGGAGGAGGAGGAGCCGCGCGCTTCTACCCACCCGCCGCGCCGCCGTGGGAGGCAGCGCCCGGCCCCGCCCCGCCCCGCCCGGCGGGCTCTCCGCGGCGCCCGGCCCGCCGCCGCTGCGCCCGGCGGCCCCGCGCCTCGAAATCCCGCGGCGGAGCAGGCGGTACCGGCCGGGGCCCGG